AAAAAAATGTCGGTATTAGTTTCATTGAGTATCACACAAAACCAAAGAGATGAGTTGTCAGTGCACCAAAATATTTCAGTTAAAAAACAGCCTTTATTTTCATCACAATAACGTCTTCATAAATACGACAATTGCTTTGCGAATAATATGAAACCCCTTAATGGTACTTGACACAGAAGGTTCTGAATCAGAAAGCGTCTCCATTTACTAGTCTAACTCTTCTACTAAGAGCCCTGCAGCTCGAGCTAAATACGATATCGGAACTTTAAGCAAAAACGTGTGAATCAGAGGGCTTAGCCACAGTATAAGTAAACGCCAGAATCCTATTAATGCCATCGATTTGCGGCGTAATTGACTATAAATTGCATTTCGTAAAGTCAGAGCATAACGAGGCTATGTTCTTTTAAGCTTTAACGAAGGGCTGGTATTTACATAACATTTCTGTGTTCCCTGTGTGTTAAAATGAACGGGAATATATTGGCGGAAATATCCAATCATTATGCAGTTCCATAAGTCTATAAGAATATTGCAGGCACGATGTACAGAATTGCTTTGAAGTATAATGAAATATTCAATCAATATCACTGAGTTTGGAACTTCGGGCGGATATTTAGCTGCATCTTAAAAGTTCCGGTTGGACTTGAATCATCTTTGCGGAATATCCCGCATCGATATTGGAAGTATATTTTCAGTGCTTTCATGGATATGGATCTAAAGTTAAAAAAAGAAGAAAGCAAGCATAACCTCAAAATATTGCTTTCAGTTTTGTAAGTTACCCTCACTAGTCTCTAAAGCGAAGTACCAGAAATAGAGCACTAAAGAACATGAATACCAAAATGTCATGGATTTTGTTCTCAAATATTGATGAATGTCAGATTTGATTTAGGAACATAGCTTTTGGTATTTTGAAAGACGCCACGCAGGTCTCGGCTGCATTATGCAAAGCAAAGCTTAGATTGATGTCTCCATGGCTCTAAATATGACCTCTATCTACCCGTCGATCAGTGCAAAAGAGAATTGGCACTAGTCGGCACAAATCACTGCTTATTCCGATTATTGAGTATCACAGTTGCTGCCCATACAATTGGCCAAATTGGGTTGGAAGCAAAGCCTGACAGCAGCCCCATGATTGGATGTAATCTCTTCATTACTGAACCAAATCTACTTTAAGTTCCCTTTTACTTCATCGACAATATTGCTGGGAAAATTCCCTTAATTGCCTTAATTCTATATTAGAGTACAGCCGCAATAAAATCTGAAATCGTTTCCTCCCAAATACGATCTATACAGTAAAATTGCCTTCGTATCCCTTTAAATCATTCCCACCAAGGGTATACCAAATAGCTCCTTCTGCAAGGGCCTATATGGGTCAAAATTTTCTTACTTGTTCTTTGGGCTTGGACATGGATCTCACGTGGTTTCAACAAGGGTCACATAGTTAGCTGTATATAGGGTTTACTGGGAAGTAAAATTGGCGACCAGGCCCCTGTTTCAGATGCTTGTTCTGTTAAGTCCACAACTTAAAGCTTGTTTATGGTCATTTTGTGACCACTTTTTTTATGCCCAGTGTGTATTTTTTCGAATGCTTTACTATGTCTTTCCTCTTCCCTCTTTTTACCAAAGTTCTGGTTTTCTTGATATCTTTTCATCATATACCATCTTGCTGGCCATCTGCAATTATTGCCAGATCAGCGTAGGGTTTTTTCAAAATTTGCCACACTTATTTATTTGTGCAACATTTAATGGAAAACTAAAGGAGCATGTGACTTCTGAGAAACTTCTAGGGGGTTAATTAGAATATGTAATGGCCAACTTGAAGAATGTATAAAGCTAGAAAGATTGAGAGCAGTAAACTTTCACTTTTAAGAAAAATAAAACAAACTACCTGTGGAAATGACTTTTTTTGCAATGCACATATATTCCTCTATCTAGGTTACTGCCCCACCGTATGGGAAAGCAGTCCAAAAGTCGATGAATTATATAAGTGTCAAGAACGTGCCGCTAGATTTAAACTGGCCCACTTAAAGAATAGGTTTGACAAAAGATATTATGCTGTACGCAGTGGATTGATACCTAAGTCCATGAGTGATTTATTCAGCAATGTAGTGTGTGATATTACAAAGAGAAACCCCATATCCACAACAGTTATACTTGTCTGGTGGCAAATATATTTTAATCAATGGATCTATTTGGAGCTCAGTACTTGTATGGAACAATCGTAACAGTGGCATTCGATTTCTTAAAAGTGGAGTTCTAAATCAGCCCATTTTAATTTTATCAAGTAGGACTATTGTTATTGTCATTGTTTTTAATTTATAAATGCTTTTTATTATTACCTTTGAAGTTTTTTTTAACTAACATCACGGGGGCATATAAAACTTTTCCTTATAAAATAACGTATGACTGTTTTTTACTACTAGAACTTCAAATACAACATATCGGATAATGTCTGTCCATATATATATATATATATATATATATATATATATATATATATAGTGATATAATCCTTTGATCTAGCATTGTATTCATATTAATTTCAGTGGAAACTTTGCATGGTGCTGACTGTATAGGGAGATACTACACGTGGCCCACCTGCCAGGACAACCCTGATGGTTATGGCTGTTTATGTGGACCCGGTTTCTACTGGAACACAAGGCTCTGTATATGTAAGTTTGTCTTTGCCTGTTCGCAAGACGGGATACTAGCGGTGTCCTAGGTCGCACCTGGCACTGTTTTCAAAAAAACGTTGTTTTTTTTCAATATAACTCCGAAAGAGAGGTTTCGATTGCAATCAAACATTTGGACTGGAGAGATAGTTATATTCCTCAAATAAACCACCTTCTGGGGCATTGTCCTCACCACTTAAGACAGGATTTACGTGGTGCAACGAAACCGCCAACTTCCTAGAGTTAGCCTGAAAACGGATGCAGCCATAGATCCGTTAGACGCACGCCTTGTGTTTTAAACACAATAACGGATCAACATTAGACGACTGAGTCTGGAAAGTATTTTTGAGATGTACTAGTACTCAGACACAAACATCCCCTTATTTTGTGTTCGCCCTGCAACATATTCGATCGTACATGTTGCGGGAATTTTAATTGCTTCCTTCGGGAAAGTTCGCTATATCTGGAAAAGAAATTAAATTGACTGTTGACTGAAGCAGAGTCTACAGAGAACAGTTCATAGCCGGAACAAGGACGTTTTCGTAGCCCTCTGAATGGTGGTGTGTGGACATGGAGATATGACAATGCAGCAAGACATGATGATAGAATGACTTTACTTATCATATTTAAAATATGGTCTAATGACCCGCCATTAGGCCCTTGATTAATGTGCCATGTGCCATAGAAATGCAGATTTAAAATTACTTAAATATTTTGGTATTTTTAAGATTGTATATAACAGAGATGTGTATTCGGGGAACTCTCCGAGGATGGCCAGTTCAGTAAAGATGATTGATTTTTGCTCGCCTGCTTCTTGGATTTAAATCCTTTTTTCCGTCTTTGTATATTATGACGTAAAATTGCTGATGTGTTAGGAGCTATTTTTTATTTCTATAGATCGGTCTGGAAAACGTTATTTTGCAAGATAACTGTGGACTTTTGATTCAGTAGTTCATATTCGCAGCTATTCACATTTTTTTTTTAATTTAAAGCAAGAAAATGGCACACGCCTTAAAGCTTTTTCATTTTTTTCACTGTAATATATTTTATACGTATACATACTAGCCTCTAGACCAGTGATTTACATGTTAAGTGGTGTTCAGATTTTCTCTCCAGAGACCAAAGATCAATGGCAATTTGTTTATGGCTTTGTACAATAAGGGCGGTATGTAATTGCTCAGTTTGCATTACCCTGTTCATATCCATAGGTCGGCTGCCTTCAATAGTTGAATTAAGTTACCCTGAGTTTTAGAGGACTGATGATGACTTACGTCTTAAGGTACTGTACATATCGCCCCGAGTTTCAAGGAACTGACCTTCCAAAATAATATACTAAAGCTAATTGCTTGAGATTCAAGTGACTGACGATGGCAGATCTCAGTAACACATTTAGTTTCCGGAAATTCTAAGTCATTTTCTCCTCTTTCTCCGTCAATAACGAAAAGAAACAAGATACCCGACGTCTAAACCAAGGCCCAGTAAAGTGACTCTACATGTATTACAAACTAACCTATTTCTATGATTTACCATTCCTATCATATCAATACGGGAGTAATGCGCTCTTCAGCACATACGGAAACACGCCAAACATTTTGACTCAACAGAAAGAATGCAGGATAATAAGTTCTTTTAAAAAATATGCCTGTGTACTAATTTTGGCATGCGCAGACGCTATATATAGATGTATGTCCCAAGTACTAAAATACATGTTGTCAGGGTTTACAGCTGAATGCTGTAATTGTGGAATTTTTTATTGAGTGCCACAAAATTCTTTAACACGCCAAATTCTGTACAGTTAGATATTCGAATGAATATCGTTTTATGAAACACCATAAAACTCAATTTTTGATATGTTGCCTAAATTTGTTTCAGCCACATCTGTAAACTCGAGGTTTGAATTGAACGGTGACCACAACGACCGCCACACGTTGAAGAACGGATACGCCAAACTGGTGGGCAAAACCTTCCCGGATCTCATCCACCTGACGATAACGATGTGGGTACGAGTGCCAAACTCCACCACGGACGGGACTTTGCTCTCCTACAGCACACGGAACTATTCAAATCTCATACAAATTACAGCAGGGCGGACAGTGAAGTTCAGTTTGCATGGAGAGACCAGGGATACAGGCCTTATGCTGCAACACGGATTTTGGGTCCATTTGGCGTTCACATGGTCTGCCATAGGTTAGTATATTACCATGTTATTTTGACGCATAAAGGTGACCATACCCAGAAACTACGAGTCTTATATTCTTACTCTCAGGGTAAGAAAGTAAGTTATTTCCGGCAAAGATCAATGGGCAAATGTCCAAACTGAAACTGAATGTCTGGAAATTCAATTGCATTTTGATAATTACGTACATGTACCACTATTGAATGGCCCACTTCTAATGAATTCGTCAATGCTCATAAATTTATGTTAAAATGCATAATAGTATATAACATTTAATGATTTTGTTTTGACAATAAATCCCCGGTTGATCATTTTTGAAACATAAAGATGTAACAAACACGTGTGAACAAAGATATAAACAAACGGATGGTTTTTAATGGCAAGCTCGGTATTTTCTCTCACATGCATGTGTATTACCCGCCCTTTTCTATCTTGGGTCCGCAACCGTTATGCATAAACAAGGGGGTTGTTTTCACGATTTTGTATATGCAAAGGGCATGGATGGGTGGGTAGGGCTGTTGACGAGTCGGGGATTAACGGGTTCTTGAATTCACCTACAGTGTGATAAATACCGTATATGCGTTCAACATGCATATTTTGTAATATAATTTTCTAACAACAGCCAAAGTAAGATTATATATATTTTATCCTTTGAAGAATCCTATCGGACTATGGAACATATCCCGGTGTAACTAAACAGTTAGTAGCAAATATATATAAATACTATAGGCCTACGATTATAAACATGAAGAATAAAGCTGTTGAAAAGCTTATGATAATTGACTTCATTTGTGAAACCAAATGACGCTTCTTCACATCTTTACTCTTTTAGATGGCTCCTGGTTTGTCTATGAGAATGGCGCCAAAATATCACTTCCTTATATGGACACTGTTGGAAAACGTAAGCCTATTCTTCGTGGGGGTGACATGATCCTGGGCCAGTCTTATCTAGGTCAAAACGGTCACGTGCAGTACGACTCTCCCTTTATTGGTGACTTGAGTCACGTGAACATTTGGAAACAAGTCTTGTCGGAGGATGAAATACGAAAAGTGTACTCAGACTGTACTTTTACTCACTGTGGCACGGCAGTTCAATGGACAGAATTTCGTTTCGGCACACATGGGAATATCCATTTGCGGTGGCCTTCGGAAATTGTAGGTTAGTATCCTTTAACATGCACACAAAGACCCAAATGGTAATTAGTTTTTTTAATTGATTGATTCATCACTTGTAGGTTAGTATCTTTTAACGTGGTCACAAAGACTCAAATGATAATTGCCTTTTTAATTGATTGATTCATCACTTTATATCTTTATCAATCGAACTCACAGAAAAACAGCTAAAAGAAATTACCAATGCAAGACGTGTGTGAATACGGATAAAGACAAATGGATGGTTTCAAATTAATTGCAAGCACGGCATTTTCTCTCTCTAAATTGACATGTCTAGGCTAACGAAAAACTATTTTATCACACACCATCGATCAAGCTTGGCACAGATGATATCGATTTTGCCTCTAAATTCGAGCTAAAAGTCGTCACTTTTGACAAGTTGAAAAGTTTAGAACACGATAAGACGGGAAACATTTATCTCTCTCAAAAGTAGAGAGATAAATTATTCCAAAAAGCACTGGTCTATTCCGACAATAGATATGGCTCGCCGTTGTTCGATCTGAAATTTTTTGTACATACATAGAAATGCTATGTGACCATGGTGATAAATTTTTTACTGGGTTTTAGGGGTGTATTTCGGTGAAATGCGAGTACTTTCTCTAGGTATGCATGTCAAATACTCTTTTGCCACTCTTTTGCAATATATGCCTTGAATACCGTTTGCTGAAGCCCGAGGTGTTCTTGCATATATTACTCGGGTGACAGCGTATTATCTCACACATACATGTAGTTGACTAATACAGATTGTCTTTTTGTATGTTTGTTTTGTTTCCTTCTATTTAATTAGCCATTTATTTTTCTATCCATAGTACGTTTCAAGGATTGTCACATATACGGCCTCAATGACCATGTGATTTTGTTCAGTAAGGACTGGTGGTGCGTATGTAAGGTTCGATTTTATACTCGCCGATCGAGAAGAATTAAGCAAGATGAGGCGCTGATTTCCAAACAGCTTTATTTCCTCTGCCTAAGTTCTCAAGTCCTAAGTGCCTTATTTACCCACCACAAGTCCTATTTTTACCCAGTTGTACATTAAATGTCTTACTGAAATATTACCTATGAACTAAAGATATTATCTGGTCTAACGAGACAAGTGTCATGAGAGGTGCGCGACGTATAAGGGGGCGTGGGGCATGCTAAGGGGCTCCACGCCGTGCCTTACACGAGTATGAAAGTACATATGCATTGAGCGACGATACAGCTTCTCCCAGACAAGCCATCCCCTCTTTTGACCTCCCCCCCCCCAAAAAAAAAAAAAATTCATTGATGTTCAAACTCTGCCTTTCAGATCAGACGTGCTTCACAGACGTATGGGCTGCCGAGACTTGTGACGATCACTGTAGCTATGTTATAGGTATCCTATATCAATTAATTAATGAATGTATGTGCACGTGTTTGCGTGCGCGAGAGAGAAAGAGAAAGCTAGTTCGTGGATGAATTTGAATTTTTGCTATTTTGATCAAGTAAACTAATTATGCGCAAAAACCATACATTAATGAGATTAGTTTGTATTCTCCGGTCACGCTTTCGACGATTTTTATTAAAATAAATGCTTGAAAATGCATCGGCTAATAACTGGAGAATTACTTTTTGTAGGATAACCATGTAAAAAGAGGAGGGCATGAAGACATATTCTCAATGTATATTCTGTCATTTAGGTGCACAATGTAACGAAGAAATTGTAGAGAATATCCGCTGGTCTCGGACTCCTGCCGGGCATAACGTCAGCGTTCCATGTCCAGGTCGCGTGGACGACAGCGGCAACGCTACAGGTAAACTTAACTTCTACTTTGAAGAAGGGACTTGTAGCGTAGTTCAGATTTTAAATAATATGTACAGTGTACAAGTTACCACTCTTTTACTTCTTCGTTCTCTTTCTATCTATTTGTCTCCCCCTTTTTTCCTTCGCGCCTTGCTTTATACCATTATATTTTAGAATGGGTGTTTCATCTAAGCAAAATGTAAAGGTTATTGATGTCAAGTGCTAAAGACTTAATAAGATTAGCAGACCTGTATGTGTTGACCACGTCATTTCAGCATTTGCATACCGGTATTGCAACATTACAAACGACAACAAAGGTGTGTGGGGTGAGCCTCAGATAGATGAGTGCCTTTCCCAGAAACAACTGTCACTGAAGACAGAGGTAGGTGCTCAGCACGTGCTCTGTTGTAGCACGCACGTGTATAAAATGATAATGCGCATCTGTGCGCACAAATTGTGTATAAGTGTAAAGGGGACGTTTAGAAAAAAAGTAAACATGTATTGTATTTTGATCCCGTCAAATTCAGTTTGTGTTGTAAACTCACTCTTTTTCAAACCGCGATTCAGCTTCATACTGGCTTAAGATGTCTTCCATCTTCCCAGATAGCAGAACTCCTTGGGCTTCCAAGCTTCGACGAAGATCGCATGTTTCACCTCGGAAATGCTCTACTGAACCACACTACGTATACTTCCTACACCAACCCGATCGACATTGCTGCCGAGATAGACTCACTAAATCTTTTGATTAAGGCTCAGGTAAGAATGATGTAAAAACGATGGAAGTATTTCAAATGTGATCGGACGCTTTCTGAATTTTGAAAATGGCAACCACTGGTACCTTGCCGATTCAAAGATGTTTGATTCCTTTCAGTTTTTCGGAATCGGAAGAATATGTTGTTGATTTACAGCGAAAAGCGTAAAATTGACCCAGCTTTACTTATTCATGTGAAATTGGATTGACTTAAAACGTCAGACCTTAAGCATATATAGTACATTCCAATCATGGCGGATGGTTTGAAATAAACTCAGAGTGGGTCAATAGCATAACGGTAGGCAAAAATATAGGTAACAAAATTCACCAAGGACGTTGGATCTGACAGTACATGTATGTAATATTTTGTTCGCTTTGGCACTATTTATGTGACTAATATCAATTTTACAAGTAATAAAACTGTGTGTTTATTTTTTGGATAATTTGAGAATCTCACTTGATCTTTATGTTAGGTAATTGGTATTATGATCATTACCTCAGTTTCCCCGATTTTGAATTTCTGAATGCAAAACACTTCTGAAAATCAAGCTGAAACCATGAACTTCGCCTGGGGCAACTGATTTCTATTTTTTACAATTATTCCTCTCGGCTCGACTACATTATCATATAAATTCAAACCTGGCTTGAAACACCTATTCCGATCATTCACCTCAAATAATCCCTTGGTATGCCTAATCACCAAGGAACAGTATCGTACGTGACAATAGGCCGAGGCAAAGCAAAGTTACACCACGTACCACATTGCTATTGGTGATGATGCTCAATTCAGTGGAAATACAAGTCAGGGAAAAAAACTTGAAATCATATTACGCATCGCAAAGTGTGAGAGTGAAGTGATCACATATTGACCGTGAATGCGTCTGTTTTTCAGGGGATCAATTTGCGCGATGTCGTCTGGAAGAGTGACATGTTGCACAGTTTTGCTAGAACCCTAGAGCTTTACCCATCTTTCGAGAAAACTATCGAGTTTACTAAGGTATTACTACCCCGGAAAAACATTGATGAGCATATTGATTGGTTTTCAACTGAGTAGTATGAATGTTTATATAGGCAAATATCGTGATTAATTATATTTGTTTAAGGTAATATGCACTCAGAATTCCGAGACTGTCAGTGATGGAAATGATGTATGGTGCATTGTTCATTTGTTTCTGGTTTATAAGAATTTTAGAATCGAGCATTTGCTTGTTATCAAACCAGTCGATTGTTAAAGATATTTTTGATAATAAGTTCAAGCCCATAAATTGGCGCAGTTATACCTTTATTTTATTGAATTGCAAATGACTGCAGATGTCCATTTCCCATTGTATCTCAATGTCTTGTAAAATATAGCACATGGACCAGTAGGTCCATTGCGCTCGGTGGACTCAGTAGCCTACGTCCATATTGACATGTGAGTAAATACATTGTATAAAACACAACCACTGAATACTTTTTGTGTTTGGTAAATTTGCATAAAGCATTACTTCCCTGGTGCTGATTTCACCAGAAAGAAAATATTAGGGAATGTTCACAATTTTTCCAGTTGATATGCGGAATCGTAAACGACTTGGTGGCGACTAAGAACGACGCTGGATGGAGAGGTGTCCAGCCCCCTGGAGCCGAAGGGGAAGTCCTTATAGCGTCAGTGGAGAAGTTTACATCCCTGGTCGCCAAGACTCTTATATATCACGTCAAGCACAAACACATCGGATCAGAGGAAGCCACAGTCAGTGCCTTATATGATAATATAGGTAGGGGGCGTGCGAACACGTTCGCAAGAGTGGTCCAAATGGCGTTGGTATGAACCGAAATTGAAAGATAACGTTTGAATTGGTCGAACATGTCTAAAATGGCCCAACAAAAGATCATGCAAATGAACTTACTGGGTGTTTAGTTTTCTGAGGCACAATGGGAGACTATATGTAATCCTGCCTTCACACTAGTGCACTATGCTAAATTTGATTACAGTTTCTGCTGAATCACTGCACATGTATGGTTGATGTAACATAGGATATAGATTATGTTTAGCGACTGATTTTTGTTCAAATTTAAGACATCTAATGGTCAGTTTTCTGTAAATTCCAAGCATTCTTCAATACATTTCCATTATGCATGTATTTCCGCTTTTTTCATTACAATTAGAAAACATTATCTGTTAGATAATTCTTGGATCAAAGGATTTGTATTAAGTTACACCAAGTCACAAGAATTTTGTCACAATAACATCATCAGGGTGAATGCCTAAAAGAGCAAAATTTTGTTTCAAAATAAACGGTTATTATCACTAAAACATTAGTGACAATAAATGTGAATATACAAAGCGCATTCTCAAAATCTTTCAGCTGTGAAAGTCCGTGTGTTTTTGAGGGACAGATTTATGGGGTTTGCCTTTCCTGATCACACGGACACGTTTGCATTGGAGATGTCAGACGACATTGGAACTTTGGCGCTCACCAAAGAAGCAATAACAGAACTTAATGAGACTATTCCAAGTAAGTTACTGTCGGATCCGAGATTTCAATAAAATGGAATTTATTAATTAATTTCATAACACTATCATCGCTAACGTGGAAGGCATTTTGCATTGTTTCTGTTCTGGGGGGGGGGGGGGGTTATCTTCGCACTGTGATTAATATTTCCTGAACTATAAATTGCAACGAGTTTACAATGACCTTACAGAAAAGGGGTGAACGAGAGAATGTTTCGTGTGATGCTTTATGAATTGTAATTTACCTGTGAGACCATTAATAGGTCAACATCATATAACATATTCTTTACGAAAATAGATTTTTAGTATTTTTTAACATAAACGAAATAATGTCTTTCACGCCATTATTCTCGTCGGTTGCTTTTTCATATCCGTTTTCTTTTCAGATTTATTTGCCATTGCTTCAGTTCGTTTTTCCAATATGGCGCGTTTGTTGCCAAATCATAATATCACAATGTAAGTTTTTATGGAATATATTTTATTCATATGAAATAAAATAAGAATGATTAGAGCATATTGTAATCGTAATTTGTAATGGATGAAACTGCTCTTTCAAGGTAGTTGTACTTGAAAATTATGATTTATCCAACTGTTCCTGACGTCAATTTGCAAAAGCCCAACAATATGATAAATATAAGTTTTTTGTTTGTCTTTTCAGAAAGAGCAAAAGGGACAACGTAAACTCGGTAGTTTATTCATTGAACGTTTATTTTGAAAATGACAGAAATTTGAGCTCAACCAATCTTTCCAGCCCCGTGAAGCTTTACTTGCCTTATACAGATGTAAGTACAACTTTGCCAGAGCAAGGCCGTTACATAGCACCTTTTCAAGGTTTGGGAATAAAAATGCGTGGTCCCTGTAGTCCCGTTTATAGGAAGAGATCAATTTTAATTTCCTCAAGACACATTAATTATTTAGAACATTCCCCGAACCTTCCTAAGAACAGTCGCATAGAAGTTAACTTGTTAAACATCCCTTTTATTACGCATCATGCTTTGAGGCGAATCTCACTTGCTATACAGTATTGCATACATGTACTTTTCAAAACCATGCTGCGTATGTTGCCTCTATAGGGATTTTCTACAGATTTGTTCTACTTGCAAAGTGGAACGTGCATGTGATCTTTAATGAAATACTGTTTTTCTTTTCCTACACAGGATTTTAATATATCCAATCCAGATTGTGTGATGTTACGGCACAGGGAAGGGTACGTAACCGCTTTGAAGCAGATTCGGTTAATTCTCATTTTCGATCCAAAATATTCCCCTTTGAATGAGTATCCTTAAGAAACCAAAGCAAGTGCTTGGTGCAGAAATACTCCTCTGGTTTTAAATGGGAGGTTGAATGTGATAATTTCAACCATATGTTACATCGAAATAATTGTAATTTGACCGCACCAGTGAGATCATGTTATCAAAAGAGGAATGATCTAATATTTCAGTGTTTGATGGATTCGTTTTCGTTGGACTCTTACAGTAGACATTATTTAAGCATCATTCACAAAAGGTAAAAAGGTTGTTGTTAATTTCATTTTCCATTCAGGACTAGACAATGGCGATGGTCTAGTGGCAGAGGAGATTGTTATGTGATCAGAAACGATAGCAGTTATGCCACTTGCGGGTGCTACAGACTGGGGACATACGCTGTAACCACGGACATGTTCAACGTTGACGTGAGTTAAATTAAATTGAACATCAATAACCACGGCGTGTAAGTTCCAAAGGTTTTAGCTAAGAACGTGAAAATTGTGTTTTTAACATTTCTTACTTAGTGATAACTCGATGCTGCCGTCAAAATTCTACAAGGTCTACATGTACATGTTGAAATAGCCATGTGGTTTCTTTTATGGCCCAAACGTATTTTAATATTAAAATTGATGAATGTGCTAAAAGAGTCTTTTTCGTGTGAAGTCACTTTTGTGTCAATTGCTTCCAGTACTTTATTTCATCAGATCTAATAAATAACTTATCTATTATTAGTGGGACAGAGGCGAGCACCCCCCACATCTGATGACCACGCCATCGTACGTGGGCTGCGCTATGTCCACGGTGCTGTGCCTTGGCTCTGCTGTCATGCTCATATACCTAAGGTACGGGTACAAGACTGGAGCCACACGTACCCCTTGCCTCAGAAGCTCCCCCTTTTTGTTTCATGCGTTACAATGTACATAGAACAATACAATTTTTCTGGCCTTTGCTTGAGTCCCCTACCTGTGCTTCCCCTTTTATGAAAATCCTGGAGTAGACGATCATAAGGAAGGTTTGCAGTACTGTGAACATGAGTTAACAACGTTGATTATATATTTTTTAGATTCAAATATTTTAACATATATAATATTGAGTACTTGCACATATCTTGATGTGTATAGACTAACGGTAGATGTCGTTGTTGGTAGATTATTGATGATGCACTGCATAGACCTGGGCACAATCTAAATAGGTACAACAGCTACATTGTAAAGTTACTTTCACAGAATGTTTGTACTAATCGGTGGACAACTCTGTAACGTTGGTTTACTATAAAATCCAAGAGAAAATATTTATAAAGGAAAGGAAAAACTAGCTCTTTCTCTCGTAAATCAGAACTAAATATTCCAAGTGTCTAACAAGTGTTTCCTTAATTTCTGAATATACGTAATTGATATCATTTTTATGAAATCTCCTTTTTCAGAACGTCCTCCCCTTCTGCAGCCATCCACAAAAACTTTGGATTTTCCATCTCGTTGTGCCAGTTGATCTTCATGGTTGGCGTAACTCAAACAAGCAATAAGGTGGGTGTGTCAAGAGTTAAAATGATAACAATGTTGACATAATAATAATAATAATAATAATAATAATAATAATAATAATAATAAAATGTCAAGATTTTCAACAGGTTACCATATCCTGTATACCTATAAATATGTAAAACTTGAACTGGCCTTTGATGGGCTTGGAAATTTTGGTAAAAGTACCTGATAGGTTCATGTTTTGGAACATCACAGTATTGTGTCACAGTTTTGTTTGCACTTTGGTCCGTTTAGTTGAATGCTCGTAACATTTTCTATGACCACGTGAAGATTCAAACATCGTACCAGCTGGATCGATCCAACTCTGCTAGTTAATTAGTTAATAACCCCCCTAGCAACTCAAGGAGGCGTGTCAGACATTTAACCCGATTACAGCGACTACCCCCAGGGAAAATTACCTGTAGAGTTGGGTCGATCCAGCTAGCACAACGGGTCTTCTGAACGCTCATCATGTTAAGCACAACCACAGGTAATTTTTTGTCTCAACTAACACAATGAACAACATTTAAAATGCGTCAGTCACAACTAACACATTTGTTACCGGACTCTTGTCATTTCAGACTGTATGCCACGTATTTGCCGTTCTCTTCCATTACTTTTTCCTCACAACGTTTTCGTGGATGATGAACGAGGCCTTCAATTTGTATATCAAAATAACATACGCAGCTCACTCGCACGGTCCTGTGAGCGAATCTGGCTCCATCTGGCGGTATTATATTTTGGGCTGGGGTAAGAAATAAACAATATCTGGTCTTATTTTGCTGAAATCTAAATACAACAAAACAGCAAGTTCCAATGCGCTCTCCGTGCTATTTTCTTAATAAAGGATTTAATGTGATGCCAGGCAGTGACTCTTGAAATTGCCTTGATGAAAATTTTGTTCGATGAGCCATTAATAAGGAATAATGCCAATAAAGAACTAATATGACCCCTTCAATAGACATGTCTTGTCGTTCCTTTCAGTTGTTCCCGGGGCCTTGGTCGGTGCACTGGTGGGCTCACACGGAGACAGCTATTATGCAGCAGACATGTAAGACACGCTCCCTTTATACTGTACTAGCTGAGAAACCTTAAAGTACTATACTTTAGTATTTATTACTTAAGGTGTTGTGGCCTCTTATGTTGGTATATGCGAAATTCTACTACCGTCATTATACTGTGGTAATAATGATTTAACTGTAAGTGCTTTTAATTTCACAACCATTGGATGATGCACATATGTTACTGTTGATCAAGAAGCCTATATGTATTCATGTATTTTAGGTGTTGGATCAGGTGGGATTTGGTATGGTTTTTCATTGGTCCAGTAATTGCTATACAAGCGGTAAGTTATATAATAAATGCATATCTACTTATATTCCCATGTGTGTGTGTGTGTGTGTGTGTGTGTGTGTGTGTGTGTGTGTGTGTGTGTGTGTGTGTGTGTGTGATCCCCTTTGTAGCATATGTTCATCCATATATTGAAAAAGAAATATTGGAATTGAAGTATTGAATTTATCACACATATATTAACTAAAATACTTTAGGAAATGCCGGCTATAAGAAATCTTTTGAAATCTCTGTGGCCAAAAAGACTCAGGAGAAAAATGTGCTGTTCGTCAGTCGATTTTTCCGTCTCCTTTTGTCTTCATATATCTTTCATAAACTTCCTGAACTTGTTATGCGCTTTAGTGCAACCAAGCCACTTTTGTCATTTAATTTCGCAAAATGAGAGAAATAGAATACATAATTTCCATCTAATTCTGTCGTTCTCCTTTTTCCAATTCACTTATTGATCAGAAATCTATTATCAGATATCTCAGAATAAGTCTTAAATATTTTTTTCACTCATTAGGTGGGGAAAACGAGATGTTGCGTTTTCCTAACAACGTACAAGTCTGTCTCTCTTGTGATAGAAATGTCATAAGAAGGAACACCGTAAAGCACGCTAGAGCGAAATAAACAAAATCACGGAAAATTACAATGCTCGTTTACTTATGTTTTTCAGGTGTCAATCCTTGTTTTAATATTCACAGCCAAAGAATATCACGAAAGTTCATATACGAAGAACGAGAAAGCTAATAAGATATTAGTGTAAGAGTTTGTTCAATAAGTTGATAAGGTGCAAATATTCAATAGTTGTAATATTGTGTGTATTGCAACTGGTGTGTTAAAAATATTTCTTCCAAGGAAAATTTTGATGTGTGATAAATTTTTCTTCCTATAAAGATTTTGGTGACGATTGGCACACTTCCACGGAATTCTAATCTTTTTAATACTAGAAAAAATATTAAAACATTTATTCATAACTCTTTTATTGCCGGTTTTTTGTTTTACAGTTTCGAAACTCCATACATCCTGCTTCATTTTCATATTAAGTTGTAATCACTGCACATTTCAGCAATCACACAAAAGCCGTGTGGACCCAAGTAGTTTTACTTACCGTGGTGTGGACTTTTGCATTCCTCTCTCTCAAAATGAGAGGGCCAATACTGAAATACTTGTACGCCTTACTCAACTTTCTGCAGGTGAGTATACCCTGTTCGGAGAAGTGATGTCATTATTAATGTCATTAATTTATTCATTTAATTTTGTGAGGGAATATACATTTGGTTGGAAGGGATATCTGGTCCATAAACCCGTATTGAAATACGAATTAAGAATGAAATCTTAAGTTAAGGGAAGCCACAAATGTCTTATTGAGAAGCAGTTCAGACTGCGAATATCATCAAAAGTATGCCTAATCATCATGGTACACTGGGGGATTTATACAGTAGTTACGATTTCACGCGTTACCGTTTACGTTAACTTTGCCGTCTAAACGTGGATATTTTACAAATAATACGTTGACGGAGGCACTGTTATTTTAATGTCAGTATTGAATTACTTTCCACACCAGTATATAAACGTCTCTATGTGCAAATGTATAACATTTGGTTTACGAATGTTCTGGTATATCTTTATGTGTCAATAATCTATTACAATTGCCAAAAGAAAAATACCCAAGCGCAATTTCCAGTTTTGTATTAATTTTTTCCGTAAAATATGCAGCATTCAAATTTGTTGGCAAAGAAGTTGATAAATCCCGCCAACCAACCCCCACCCAGTTTTGATCGTTTTTGTTTTGATGCTGCAGCAATGTTTTTAGTGTGCATTACATAAAGATCTTTTTTTGTGTGTGCAAAGTTTTATTCCATTGATTATCCGTTGCAAATGGCATGATTGTAATTACACGAACTAAAAGCGCTGCAATACGCTATCGTACAAGGAATCGTCATTTTCAAGGCGACGTCCTCCTATAAAGACTCCCAGAGGGAATCTTACGACTCAAACAATCGATGACTTATGTCACCCTCGTTCAATTTTAACCGTCATTACAGAATGAGAAAATGCAGAACAAATGTGTTCTCTGTAACAAGAAGCCCATACGCATATTTTGCATACAAATGACCGCCGTTTCCCGACGATATCTCAATAGATACCCGCACCAGGCGTAACATAAGGTGCCATTAGGCAAATATAAATTAATATTGCGTATAATGATCATTTTGTGAAATCTAACGAGACAGCAATGAAGATAGATGATGATAGAGCAGCTGAACGCTGTAAGAAAACACGGGTTTCAACGCCGTGGAATTTTCATTCGCCATGAAATTAACAGTCGAAATGAGAATAGACCGAATCAAGGGTGATCGTTATAGAGCTGTGATGTTCGCTCCGGGAGTCTCGTAGCCTTCTTCAACCACGCCCCCTTGCAATCTGTATACCACGATGAGTCATTAGTCAACATCAATATGGTAAACCCAGTAATAGATTTTGAAGTTTTTTCCTCAAAATTATGCCTTTTATCAAAAGTACAAATGTAAATATTTCGGTGATTAAGGAGAAATGAAAAATTAATCAAATAAAGAATGTGTTGAGGACTTCTTAAATTGATTAACTAGAGAAATGGGATCAGCATAATGATTAGAGTTGAAATCCATAAAAACTATTTCATCAATTGATATTTTGTTTTAATAGATTGAACCAGAATAAAAGCTAAAACATAGAAAAATTAATATATTTTTTCTAGTATAAGAATTGTTTTTGTCCCGTGTGGTTCGATTGCAATATTGTATTTTAGTATTGTGTCGAAGTAGCTTCCTGTTGATGACAATATTAATCAATTTTTCATTGCTTTTAGGGATCGTTTTTCTTGGTATTTTATTTTTTGCTGAATGAAGAGGTAAGTGCCCCAACTACAGTCCATGATTTAAGAGAGAGAGAGAGAGAGAGAGAGGGTCAGTCTATCATTTGTGTAAAGTTAAGTGTCATCTACGCACATGTAGTGCACCAAGGTGTGGGCATGAGTGAAGAAAAAGTGTTAGAAAAAATCGAGTGCATTCGGTCAATCATCGGAGTAGATAAATGTATTAAGAAATCCACAATGTCATTTGTGACATATTCGCGGACTTTGCCATGGGTAAAATGAGATCAGAAAGATCGTGGGGGTTCAAATCAACGCCGAATCACGGCGCTGGCTCAAAATAAATTGACATATGAAAATTGGTCAAATTTGGTTATCCAGTAAATAACCTAGGCAACAAGTTCGCAGAAGATAGAAATTCGATGAAATGCAAAAATATTTTCTACATCAATTCAACACTGTCAGTCAAGCAGAAAATCACCTCTCTGATGTACTATTTGATGGGCCTCTTTTTTTTTCTCTAACATGTCAAAGCATCAGCTGGTCACCTGTGACTTAAAAAAATAACAAATGAAAAAATACGATGTTGGATAAACGGTCAGCATCTTGATGAATTTATTAAAATGTAAATGTGAAAAAAAAAAACACAATCTGCAACGAACTTTGACTACTGGAAGAGTGCTCAACAAGTCCTGCCGCTGGGCTTCCTCGTGCACTTTGAAGCGGCAGATGGTGCAAGAGGACAATTGCTAGATTAAGTATTAATTTACCGAACAAATTAAAAAGCACATTGAGAATTTGCCATTGAAACACGAGAACTCATCCGAGAGGACCATCAAACGATCTTAGTGTAATTTTTCTGACTGATTAATTGAACGTCCTTTCATTGTATTCCTCACAACTACTATTGTCACAGATGCCAGACAAGAAAATTAAATCTCTTTCACGAAGTCGTTTCGCCAAGATACAACGTGAATGACTGATTACTTACGCTATTTGTTTATTAAGATATTAAGGGCACATGGAAAGACACACTCGCTGTTTTGCAGTCGACTTTAACAAGTAAGCCTATGCACCTTGCCCAACTAGGTAGGCCTACAGACTACACAACGTCATTTCGATACCAAAACAGCATTTCGACGTCGGCATGAGGCTTAGTGCCTCCTGAGATGTCACTTAATATATGTACTTCTGAGAAAAGAGGATACAGGTGCACGTGGTTAACCGTTACCAGTTTTAATAAGGAAAACGAATACCATGAAGGTACAAAAAGAGCAGTCATTCGTCAACTGTTTTATTACCTGAGCATTTTGGTAATTACATACAACAACACAGCGTTTTGCTTGCTTACATGCCAATGCAAACATTACGAATAGATTTTTCCTCTTTCAAACCCTCTGTCCAAGACAATGGTTTTCATATCAAGTTCTTGCTCAAAAATTGCCCTCTCCCTCTACAAACCCTCGCAATCGCCATCACCTTCTCAAAAATCTTTGGTATTATGGAATATGTGTTTAGGGATTAAATTCTGATTGGTATATATTATTTGTCTTAGGTACGAAGTTACTACAGGGAACGGCGTCGACGAAAAAACCTGGCCATGCAGGGGTATGATACTTCACCACGCCCTTCAGTGGACTCCCTTCGCTCAGAACAAATGGGATCAGAACCGGTGAGTAGTGGGGTCCATGGCGTGTGCGACTAGTCGGAAGAGTACATGCGCGCATACAGATTATTATTATTATTTACTTATTTATTTATTTATTCGTTTTTTGTTTGTATTTTTCTACTGTTCTGTTTGTTTGACTTTAAAAACTCAAACGGATAAGGCTGTAGAGCTCGAATAAAAAGTTCACTTTTGCTCCTGACGAAAAATAATGGCCCGTATCATTTGCATTAGGACCGACAGGTGTGCTATTCACCAACTCTCCTTAAATTGGGATGTGGGCACTATCAATATGTACGATGTTCTTGTTCTTTTTGTTCCCAGTATCATCCAAGCCAGCACACCAGGTTGATACCACACTGTTGATACGAAGTGACAGCGTGGTAACAACGTGGAAGCTACGGTGTCTAAACTTGACGTAATTATTGGGATGAAAACGACTATTTGAGAAAATAGCAATTTGACCTAGCAGATTGAAGTATTTTAGTCGGCCCAAGAAGACGTTATTTCGACGTCCGTGCTCACGACTAGTTTGTTAGTTTGTTCACGTCTGCCGTCCAAATACCGTCTAAATGACGTGTGTGTGTGTGTCACGAAGCTTGACTGCATTTTCCTCTAAATGTAACCTTTATTTTAAGGGTGTCTGATCATATGTGTAATATACTGAAAATTATGAGCATTAAAAATAAACATTTTGAATTATATTTCTCGTCATTAGGACACAGACGCTGGTCCGTCCCAGCCAAACCACACCAAGACCTCACCGGTAGAGCACAGGAAGGGCAACCGGGTGCGGTACAAACTGGATTACGGGACAGACGCGGGCTCGGACTGTGAAGAAATGATAACCACTGTCTGAAATTATTATTACTAAAGCTCTGGACCCTTAAACTGCTGTCCGATCGCCACTCTCCTATTCTCTAAACTTGGTGGAAAGGAATTGAGTAAATATAACGTGTAGGAGAAAGAGGAGAAAATGAAGATATTTAAATGTTTGAGAACTCTGTACGTTTAAACTCTCTCCGTAGTATTGTTTTTTTATATCCTTCATGCCTGAAGAGTTAACACGGACTAAATAGAATCATTGGTAAATAATGCACAGAGCAAGGATAAATACATGTATGTATCTGGACCTGATTTCCTTGTGCTTTTTAATGATACAGTACTAGTAGACGGAGAAAAAAGTGCGATTTTTATCGTATGAACCGAGCAAAGGCATGCGTTTTTCATTCCTTTGAGAGATCCCTCGAGGGAACTATAACACTTTATTTTCCAAGGAATTCCTCTAAGAAAGTCATTAGTCTAATTTAATGCTGATAATAACTCCAAATGTGCCAAATGAAAGCAAAAAAGCATTGTTTTGATGTCCAGACGTTGATAACCTTGACGAAAAATGTAGAGATACGCTTATTGTATAAGTAAGCTACGTTATTAATGGGAGAGAAGCTTTTTAAGAACCTCATATTGGTGCATTGGTATCGTGGAGAAATTAAGCTGTTATTTATATGAACAATGCACCAGGTGATTTTGTGGAAAAAATTACACTGAGAATAAAGCAATATAAAGATACCCTTTTTTCTCATATTGTGAACAGAAATTATGCCCCATTAACTAGAAAGAGAGAACAATCGATTTGATTAGCTGGCGTCTGTTTTCAGTGACTTGGGAAAACCGTCCAAAATTAATTTTGTTGCAAAAACAACCAAATGAGCAAAAGGTCACTAATTGTGTTTTTCCAAAAGTGAAGAAAATTGTCATTCGGAAGGAAAATATTGGACACTAAAATCGTGTTAATCCTAATACAACTCCTATTTTCCCATTATTTCGCTTGGTTGAATGAAACAAAATTTGAAATAACATTAGAAATAGAAAACGTCAGTGAGATCGAGTTTTTCAAATATCTGACATATATTGACATTACTTCAGACATATCTATTTTGTCTGAATACCAATATATAAAACGAGTTGTAAAATAAATTGAATTTCTTTATGTCTTCTTTTATCATTTTTTCGTCTTGGGCAACGTTTGCTATTAATTTGCGTATAATTAAAAAAGAATTGAAAAGATGAACGACAGACGCAGAAGGTGGCGGGGTGGTCTGGTGTTGACATTTGCCCCCTGAATCGTCTTTTAATGGCAAAAACGTCAAATAAGGACACATTATTTTGTCTATGTTCATGTTTTGGTTTCAAATATCATTGCACTGTTTTCAGATAACCATATTAAGATAATTATATCAAGTCACAAACTAAGAAGACGGATGACGTTGATGCCAATGACAGATACGGAAATTAGGAATGGTTTTATCTAGTAGTTGACTTCCTAGAAAACCGCTGCCAACCTAAATATCACATTTGATTTGTTCTTTCCTAGTTTCTTTGAAAGAAAAAAAACCTTCGAAATGATTTCGGTCAATCATGGTCTGTGTTGTCTTTGATTATTAAATGTATCTTTAACAAGTGAACACTCCTACAAAGATGGCATGCAGACAGTTCATTTATTTCTTTTGTTGGGTGACATATGAAGTGATGTTTTACTGTACACACGATGAAAACCCTAGTTTTGTTTTCATTATATAATTATAGCTACGGCCAATCTATATATTCATATATCAGACGGAAACTGTTACCAGCGACCAAGTCAAGATTTGGCAGGTGGGCCTCACAGTTCTAAGTCACACTTTTCAAATGCAGTAAGATCAAAGATCCAAACATCAGGGAAATTGAATTAGCAATACTCTTCACACTGTAGCACATGAATACAAACGCAACACTCTACTTGATAGAATACCAGGGTAACAATAGAAGAGCAATTGAGACTCTTAAAAGTATCCACAGCGCGTGCGACCGTTTAGCGTACAATGCACTGGTCTTTTAATTTAAAAGTTAAGACCATCGCCGACTCTTAAACGTTGGATCTTTTATCAGTGACTCCGTGTGACCCCTATTAACTGTTTGACTACGTCTGTAGGCCAAATCTCCCAAATTGATACGAAAAAACAGACGAGGATTGGGTCCAAAGAGACCGAACAATATTTCCATGATAATCTCCGACTGCTTTTCTGCAAGGCTTCGGGATGAGAATTGTGCAAATGCTTGGAAGTGTACTTAATCATCTGAATTCTCTAGATGCAATCCCAGGTCTTCTATTAATATTAATTTTCATCAGTTTACTTGCTGAAGATAAAATTGAGCTCTTTTTAATTCGCCTTTCTATGTTCTGCGCCAGACGTTCCCCTAACACAGAGGAATTCCGGAATCAATGTATATAAGATCGCTTTCCAATTTCATCTATTGATAGAGTTCCTGCAAGGGTCGCCGCTCCTAAAATTGTATTAGACCCTACATAAAATTTCATCAGCAGAGGGAAAAAAAGATCCCGCTCCGGCTAGGTATTAGAAAAATCGATACAGGTTTGAGGAAAAGCATATTTCTCTAATGGCCAGAATCTTTTGAATTGCACCGCACTCCGCTGCGCAGAGGCTTATCCCCCAACAATTGGCTCTCTGGCGCTCTTTTCAATGACAGATGGTCAAAGAGAGATGAAAAGACCTCAGCTAATATTTCATATATTCAAGTAGCTCCCTTGCTGCTAAATAATAGACATTACTCACGAGATAGACTTGTTAGTTAAATGGGTAAATATGCTCGGCTGCATCTCTACAAGTGAAGGAGATGGGCATATGCTGCTTACATGGATGAGTGAGCTAATATGTAAGGCGAATTCTTCGTTCATCTGTTCTCAGTCTGAGAAGCATGAAAAAAAAAAAAACAGAAAAAAGGGGTTAGAACCACGATAGTTTCTTCGTGTTTTCTCTGACGCCCATCATCATGATTATGCATCCAAGAAGCGGAGCGATTTCCCTTATGTATAGGCTAAACTAATGAAAGTTTTTGTTTTCAATAAAGTCAATGATACACCATTCGAAGTAAATTTGTCTTTTTGCTTTCCGCAAAAATAAGTTGTCAGTGGGGCTCTCTGTGTGGTAAATTATACTTTATTCATATAACACACGCGTCTTTTCGCGGCATCTGGTCCGTCTCATCCTTTGTCAGTGGAAATCATATCCGTATTGTATCAGGTTATTAGCTAATTTTCAAGCATAAGTGACGACCAATCAAAAGGCGAGAAAATATCATAATTGAAGAGATTCTCTTGTTATGGTGAGCCTGAAGAACTGAAGTGCGCATGGACGGGGCTATTTAAAGCCTTTCACTTTGTTCAAGGAAGAACATAATTTGGATGTAAGCGAGGAAAAACTTAGTTGCAGTGTCGGTCTGTGGTTTCATCCCTTTGTGTCTTTTTCTCACGGGTCTCCCCAGATCCCATTAAATCAGGAAAAAAGGGCGCGTGCCGTGTGGCTGCGTCACTGACCGTGCGTCTGAGATTACGTGCCTCGTTAGTACATTAAAGGTGAGTGGATTTTTATGTACCGCAGCAATACATAGGTTATTTAACACTGCATTTTATGATTAATTTAATGAGTTGCGTGACAGAACGTTCTGTTACCGTAAGAAACTTTGTATCCTTAGGCAGTGCACGCAGAATATTGTCATTAAAATATGTTCATCACACAACTCCGATCTTTTTTTAAAGATGGTACTTGGAAACTGCGTATATATGTGTTCCCGAGAAGCATTATTAAGGTCTACCGTGGGCTCACTGACTCTGTTTTACATAAGTAGTTTTCTTGAACAAACAAACTTGATAACAAAAATTGGAAAGTAAAGTGGAAAGTAAACAAATGGGAGCTCTGAGTTGGACAATTATTTTTTAAATAAGTTATTATCATCATCACTGTCTTTTAAAACACAAATTAAAAAACCAAAACCCTGATTTCGTGAGTGCCAAATTGTTTTTAGACTGAGTCAGTATAAATAGTGTAAACTGCATGATTGAAGAATTATTTCGTACATGTAGTTGCTTTAGTTTACAAGCTTTGTATAAATCATGACAGTAAAAAATACAGTACAATATTCAGAGATTTGGAACTAATTTGCATATTATGAAGATAATTATTATCATTATCAAAGCAGCCTTTAAAAAAAGAAAATGATAGTATAATTGAAACGCTGTTGACAATTTGGCTATTTTTCACTTAACAGCCTACATTCCCAATTTTGAATTCTTAGGCCTCAATTATGGAGTTAGCCTTACAACTGTTTCACTTTTTGCTTAACAGTTACGACGATGAATACAAGTCTTAAGAAACCCTTAATGCATTCCTCTTGTAACACCAAGTAACATTATACATGCGCAATACAATTTTTTGTCTAAAGACAATGGCGGGATCATGAGGCCAAGAAAACCCTGGGCATTAAATTATCCTCACCACCTGCTTTCGCGAACTGTATTTCAGGTGAAGAAGTCTCTCTCTCTCTCTCTCTCTCTCTCTCTCTCTTAATCTTCGTGATTTTTTGCACCTGCTCAATTCAATTTTTCTATATTTTTTTCGTTCCCGTTTTATCTTGCTTGTACCGCTATACACTTATTAAGAAAAGACAAAAAAATTTGAAGAATACGATCATCGCGTGCAGACTGAGCGCTGTAGAACTTAGCCCTTTCGAATCATCTCCTAGGAGCATATGTTGACATTTTCATCCATTTCTTTAGCACAGTTTGGAGGCGATGGCTCAGGGCTAATTTGTGAAAGATAATTAAACGCGGCAAATGAGACTCCTCTGCGTGAAGCATCAGCCTCGCCTTTCATACCTTCGATGCCTTGGTTCAAGACATTGTGCTGCAGGGGAAGAACACCGTATCACTCATTTACCGCGTGCAGCGTGTGCGCCTTCGACCGGGTCATTAAAATCTGTTCGATGTATGCGCAGCTCCCTAATGCAATTCCCTCTTTATTTGAGCAGATTGAAAAGAACATTAAGTACAAGCATGGCGTGATGGATGGACGTCTCCAGATAATAAGACCTAATGAGGCTTTTGTTTCGCGAGAAAAAAATAAACAAATTGGTCCTTGGGGAAGCTAGGACTTGCTGTAATGTTAGGACCAATCCATCACAGCACTTCCACGACTGACTCTCTCTCTCTCTCTCTCTCTTTGCGCATTTCCATATTTTTCATATTTCTCCCTTTCTCTTTTTTTTTCTTGTGCAGTCGGAAAACTTAAACATACCAAGTCTATACACAAATGCCCATTCGCAAAAACACATACACACACCAAAGGGAAGGAGAATTTGAATGCTCTATGCAAAAATCTACTAAAAAATCTACTAAAAAAAGCCAACATTGCCCTGCCTCAGTAAGTTGACTAGGTTATCAGCAATGTAGGACATTTGATCGGCGAACAATAGCTATATTCATTGCAGCTAATGGAGTGACTAAGAACGGACGATGCATTTATTTTATTTCTGGGAAATGAAAAATAAGACATCAGTCAACGAAGCTCTAATTAAGGAATGCCCCCAGACAATCTGGATCCACTGCAAGCGAGATAGCATCCTGAAAATGAACCGTGCAGTCTTAATTAGTTAACCGAACAGATATCGGTAATCAAACAAACTGGGAAATATGTTTGAAATAAACTGACGCCCCGTTTATCACGCCAGATAAAATCAAGCCGACACCTTCCAGTTGCTTTTCCCTATTCCGTATTCATAGTATTTGTCAGTATTCTTGATTAGATAGCAATCAACTTTGCTCTCTCAATTGCAGAACAAACCCCATGGCAATACGGAATGGAGTAATCTATTCCTATTAAATACAGCAGCATTCTAAGATAACGATTGTGATGCTTATTTTTGAGAGCGAGCTTAAGGTTTATCCTTAATAAATAAAACGCGTTTTTATAGGTCTAACATATGTTTTACTTACAAGGAAAATATATGAAGCGTAGGTGTGTTGATGACGTCATCCAGCGCGATCGGAGTCCCCGAGGGGATAACGAGGCAGAATCGGTGAAATTGAGTGGAATGTTTCGACACCTGCTCCCGTCTTTGCAACATTACTTTCGGATGCTAATGTTGTTAAGGGCATTGCGATTCACCTCGTTTTATTAACATTCCAGCTAAGGCTAAATGATAAAGAGATCTGTTTATTGTATCACTGGCATCTTTGTCAATGTTACAAAACACGAAACAAACGTCAAACGAATGATGAAATAAAATCTTAGATAACGTCCAGGCTTTCAACAATACTTAAAGCATTACAGAAAACCGACAAGGGATCAGACAAAACTAAACTTATGTGAATTTTAAATGATAAATTAAAATAAAATGACAATATTGTGGGTGACGGAAATTAATTTCATTTGTGAATTAACTCTAAACATAGAGAAATATATTGCCAGCCGCTATCAATATGATGTTAAGACAGGGAGCATGCAGTGGTGATAGTGGGGGGGGGATCAATTAGGGTGTTTATCAAGGCATTGTATAATAATAATAATAATCTTTTAGCAAGATATTCTTTCACATGTTGAAATAAATCTGTTAGGAAAAATACTCATTGAATAATTATGGAAAAGAATAAAGTGAAGGTTTATCAGTATTTCGAGTTCATCTAAAGAAACTAAAAGAAGCATACGCCATTTGCCTGACAGCACTGAAGCCGCCAGGTTCCTAAGAAATTTCATCTTTAAAGATTCTCATACGATAACTTAATAATGCCCCCGGCTTTAACATTCGAAGAGGTTTTCTAAATTTCGCTTAATGCGTCTCGGGTTGTAACCTTCTGTTTTCTGATAACGATTTCATGTTCACTTTACTGAATATGTCGCGAATACTTCGTCTCTAACTTAATTGCCAGGGACATATTTTTATTACAAACTGCCAGTAATCACGTCAAATCAATTATAATGGACATATTTCGCTATTTCTTTAGGGAAAGAGAAAGGAAACGCATGCAAATCAAAACTCAGAAGGGCATTTGACTTTATTAAGAAATCAAACGCGCGAATCCATCATGCATATGCTTATTTCGATTTCAATAATACTATTACCTTCGCATATGCCTAAGATGGGAAAGTTAACAAATCAACCACTCACCAAACATTGCCATATCGATTGTAACGCAGCGAAGGGATAAATTGCTTGAATAAAATGAACTGTAATGTAATGGTCTGGTATTTGTCGAAAATCTGTTGAGTTTTCCCTACAGTAAGAAGACTTTCTCTCTCAGGACTATACATGTATATTGGTTTGTCTTTTCTCATTTAAAAGTAACAAGGGTAAATAGAAAGGCAGTGGTACGTTTTGTGGGCTATTTAAATATCGCCTTTGTTTCTTTAGGATTATATAATGGGGATGATTACATGACACGTTTTGTATGCTATTTTAACATCACCTTTGTTTCTTTAGGACTGTATAATGGGGGTTATTACATCGGAGGATATTCCGTGTGGCCGAGAGTTTGGACCATATCCTGTGGGCCCAAGTATTCTCGACCCTGGGGTAGGAATCGCTTGGCGGACGCAGCATTTTGTTGAAGAAGAGCACAAGATTAAGGTCTGTACATACTTCGTTTATCAACGTAGCAAAACAAATCCCTTTAATCAAATACAAATTAATAAGTGAAACTTGCTCATTTGTAAAAAGGGAATATTGTATCTATATTAAACAGGCCGCTAATATTTACATTCACATGGCAAATTCTTGTTTAAGCAATTCTACAATTCACCAGAATAACTGTAATACATTTGTTGAACACGTCCCGTTGAAAATGATACTTCAACTATCCAGATAAACCCGGATCTGGAACCAGAGACTTGGCTCCCACTTGTTCAGACTGCAAAAGACATCCGAGACCAGAATCTGGAAGCGTTACTACGAGAGGGAAGAGTATATTACAGAGTAATCCGCCATATACCTGCGCTGGAGGAACTGCTAGTGTGGTATGGAGATGAATTTGCTGCTGCTATTGGTTTGAAGGACATTAAAGATGGACACAATGTTACTATAGGTATGAAAAATTGGTCATCAATTTCCTGTCCAAATCAGCAAAATGCATGAAAGACTCGATGAGGCTCGTTTGATATATGGTGCGCTTAAAGATTGCGGCCATGATTTATAAAACCAAAATAAGGTTTACTGCATTTATATGTGAAAATCACTTTTCATTTGAATCTCATTCAGTATCAAACATCTACCAAAGTTTGCACAAATTAATGGTCCGGTAAGTTTTCAGGAGCATTTTATCAAATGTGTCGATTTAATTAAATCAAACCAATAACGGTTTCCTCATATTTATATTTAGAACAAATCTGTTTTTGACATAGATTCATGTCTGGTATTCGAAGTAACATCTTGACATTTTTCTGTTTCAGATGGTTCATCATATTGCTGCCCATACTGCAAGACAGATATTCGAATGTATCACAGTTTTCTGGCGCATGTGGCATTCCTATGCCCACGACTCCATGGGGAGCCAAGCGGCGACAAAAGAAATAAAACTGACCAAGATCTACAGAAATTGGATCAACGCGATGGTATGACCGCTGAATCGCGCAAACGCAAACGATCTGGAGGGGACGAAAACCAAAACACCATTAAAAGGCGGTCACCTCACGAAGAGGGACAAAAAGAGACATCACATTGTCAAATGAAGAATGACGTCATGGACGATGATGTTGAAGACGTTCAAGTGGGGCATGGTTCTGGTAAGAGCGCTTTCAAGAGAGTCGAAAAGAAGAATCCTGATGTTGACAATATTGTAAAATCGGAAAGTGCTGGTGGATCGTTTCGAAGGAAGTCGCCACCTGGCGGAACATTTGACCAAGATGGTCACCCTATACACGTTCCAAAACCCGTGACAATGACTGTTAGCCACGCATCAAGTAGTTACCTCTACACAAACAATCCTTTCATGTCTTTTCTCAGACGACCGAATATTCAATCAGGCCAGGAGGGCGAACAAAGCGAAAATTTTTACGGCAAAATCGCTCAACTCTTTCCGCAAAAACTCTTTGAACTTGGTTCAGTGTTGCCAGCAAATAAACCAGTGGATCTGAGAACAAATGTAACGCCGACTGTTTCATCTATTTGCGTGCAACCTACATATCCACAATCAACATCTTTAGAACAACGCGGGTCTATTTTACCCAAACCAAACACCAACATGATCGAGAGACTTCTAAATACTAACCCATTACTTAATGCAGCCAATCCCTTCATAGCGGCAACTCCCTTTAATTTGACTCAGAATTGGTGCGCAAAGTGCAATGCCACTTTTCGAATGACGAGCGATTTGGTTTATCACATGAGAACACATCATAAAAAGGAAACAGACCAGGAGAAAAAGAAAAGAGGAGATAAACTGCGTTGTAACGTTTGCAACGAGACGTTTCGAGAAAGGCATCATCTCACAAGGCACATGACGTCACACCTGTAGCTAAATTAAAACACTCGACTCTCTAAGGGGATCATATTTAATCTATACATCTATACAGTGAATTGTTATCTGATTGAAAAACAAATACTTGGCCTTTTGTGTTGAATAACGGCCAATCCTGTATTATCATTTTTGGCGAATGTAAATTGAAAGGAAAATCATTGTATAGCCTAATATATGCGAGTAACTGTTTGTGTAATGTAGATACCGTTTTGATTATCGTCTTTTTGATAATATTTCTGGTCCAGTTGCTCTCTGGATCTCAAATGAGTGTACTTTCCCTATTATTTAACGCGGTCGCTTTCGCAGCATCACGTATTTCTGAGAATTGTCAAGTAAACATGTTTTGAATTTATAGGCATATTGCCAGCTTCAGCATGAAGGGATTTTAGCAGATACGCCTGTGACATCTACGAAGAAACGGCTGTATAAGACTGTATATTGCATAATGATGTCCTTGTTTAATCACTGTTCAAATGTAAATTGCGTAAGTTCCGAGTATTAACAAACACAAAAACAGTGAGCTTATCTTAATTAGAAGACCAAAATTTCAGATAAATCTGTTATCCAACTTCGATGCAGGAGTGTTATTGATGTTAAAGAAAGCATTACATAAGGCAATTGACTATGTACAGCGTGTATACATGTGAACGTTTGAAGAAAGCAACGATGTAAAAAAATGGATACAACGTAGACACACTGTATGAGACTGTATGTAATGTTTGATGTAAAAGTCTGCATTGAAACAACCTATAGGATGTGCTGTAATATTATTGAAATGTTTTAAGAATTATAATTGCTTTCGTAATTAAGAGAAGCTGATCAAGTTTTTGACAGATCTGGTATCAATGACAATGAGTGAAATCAAAGTGTCACTGCATTTTTTGCCAGCGGATTGAGCGTAGGCGCTGGTCGTCGCTTTAATAATTGAAATAATATATGACATAAAAGACTGACACCTTCCATCTGTTTCTCTGTTTTTCTAGCATAAGTAATTTTAAGTTTGTAATCATCACATAACATTCATCTAATATAACGTATAACATGAGAGCGTGCTATTGAGAGGGATGCTTTTTTCAGTCTAATAGCAAAATTTACGAGTTAAAAATGGAATAAGTGTTTTGGATAGAACTAATTTCTCGACAGCTAACAATTGATCCCTTCATTTGATCAATTTTACCCTTCTGTTGAATTTTTGTATCTTTAAGAAACAACTTAAAAGTAGACAATACATGGGTAACCGGCAGAACATCTTCAGTCTTTAATTAAGACATTTTTTTTCAGGTACAGAGACTGGTCAAGTACCATGCCTTTAATTGATAAAGTCATTCTCCTGGCAAAACAGTTCAATTTCTTTTGCGATATAACAGCTTTGGCACCTCTACCGCAATCCGCTGTACGTTAGTGGTTCAGTTTGAGCTCAAAAGGTGAGGAGCAACTGGGCCCCGTAACTCGAAAGCATTGCGCGAATAGCGATGTCACATAGAGGCTACAATGTATTATATGGGGAGAGTATGGGAGAGTTATGGAATCGAGACGCTTGCGCTCGGTCGCAATGTGCGATGCTTTCGAGTTACGGGACCCTGCTCGTTTTCAGATGTAACAATGGAACTAGCCAGTCTTTTGTGCAATCCAAACCGAAACAACGCGTACAGAGTAAAGATTTTTTCAAAATCCTCTGATGCTTCAGAACGGATAGTATGTCACTCTGAACTTGTGACCGACAGTTATTTGAGACCTCTCAGCAAATCACCGGTCTTAGTAATTGAGACGTCTTTGAAATGTTAACGTATGAAAAACATTCCCTTTTTAAACCGTTTCAAAATGTCATGATGTTGAGACCACGCAAGACATATACATAAAGGGTCTTCGGAATACTTTATTAAGGTAGCTGGAAAACGTTGCAATTTGGTTGGCAAATACCTGCTGTATCCACCACACATGGTCAACAGTTTTTTAGATAGTTGAAAAAGTCCATCAAAACTAAAGAAAGACGTTGTGAAATGCATTATCACAGTACTTTAATACCGGATAGCGAATACGTCATATTGATGGTGTAAAGATCACTCAAGATCAATGCCAATACGTTATTTATACTTTTTGAAAAATTCGATGATAGTTCATGTTTTTAAATTGCTAAAATTAATGATTTTTTAGATGCTATTAACGTAAATAGTGGGTCTGAACTGCGTACAATTTGAAAAAGCTAACAATAAAATTACTCATAATGTGGGTACACTGTGAAGAAGCGAATCGTCCTTTAGGACTCGGATGACATAATATGCACAGTCTATCAGATTTAGGAGTGAATTTGAATCTATTATGCATTATAACTGTACGTATTTTCTCGACTAGTTGTTGATTTATATATTATAGAAAAGTTGACCTTGCAACATAATTAATTATGGCATAATTGTGTCAATAAAAGAAATTAAATTGGATATAAATATGGAGTTTTATTTCTATATAAGCGAAAGAGAACACGCAGCATGGTATTCGATTGTAACAAACTTTACCAAAATCTGTAAATAAATATTTCCAAGAAAACCGTACTAAATTTCTACTGTTTCTAATCCAGTGAATTCCCTTCATTTTATGTTAACATTTCACGCAACTCACGCTTATGGTCAGTTGACAGGGCTTTAGATAAGTGTACTGTAGCTGTCTCTATCATCCCAGGTGCATACTAGTCATTTCTATGGTACTTGATGGTTTCCTGCCGATTAAACATGCAGATAACATCCTCGCAGGGCATGCGGATATTCCATTAAAACATTTGCAAAAGGGAACTGTAAGTGAAGATTACAGCTACCTGAACACGAGCTGCATTTCAGTCCTTCACCTTTGAAACTTGTTTTCATTTTTTTTCGCAGTACCAAAACTAAGAACGGTAATCAAGAAAATTTTCAGCATTTATTTAATATAATAAAATAATTAAACATTCCACATTAATATCTTCAAATTATATATATATATATATATATATATATATATATATATATATATATATATATATATATATATATATATATATATATATATATATATATGGCAATGTTGTTTTCAACTTTCCGTTGTTTTAGGCACGCTATGCGACCAACTGCACATCAAATCCTATTCGGACAATCCACTTTGACAGTCCTGGCTTGTAACTTCGCTACAGGGTGGGGGTTTCCCCTCCACAAGTTTTCTGCTGTTTAGATGCATCAAAAAAAAAATAAATAAATAAACACTTCAAAATACACAAAGTGTAAAAATAGATATATTTTGCAGGATGCGTCACGCTGTGAAAAAAGAAGTCGCCTGAATGTCAGTGGTCAAATTGTTTTTTTTTTCGTCTTCTCTATCACAGTCGAGTTGATCGAATGTGTTATTTGTGTAAGGTTTTCTGCAGCTTGCAGCACACCGCGCTACTAATTTCACAGAAATGTGATTATTCTGTTGACAGTGTAGTAGAAAAGGTGGTGATTTTCATCTCTCAAATTTAATGAGCTATGTCGTGAAAAAAAAGCGTAACTCGGTTAAAAGGGTAGAGTGCAGATAAAATATTTGAATGCTTCATCCTTTCGTGTGTTGAGTGAAAGACGCGGTTTCCGAATAACCTACTTGAACCAACCTATTTTCTTTCACATTTTCACATATTATGTGTGATCATGCGTGATCACCAAGTAAATCCATCAAATGATAGATGGAACTTGAGACAGAATGGATTGAAGTGAACCCCCTAATTGCGGAAACTGACAACCTGGCCGTTAGCTCTGAAGTTCTATCGTGCAGGAAATTTGTACTATTACATCTGTGATCATCTGTATATATACTGGTGTGCGTATCCGGGCCCAGCTGGCTAATTAAGTATATAAAGAATAGCGGTGATGATCATCTTCTCACCAAATTTCCACACACATGACGGACCACAAAGTTAACCAGTGTTATGAATTACTAAATATGTCCTCCATTTGAGCCTCCATTGAACCTGTAGCTTGTGCACTGATCGCTAGTAGGAAGCAGCGACATTGAGCAACCATTTGTAAGGTACAAGTGTCAAATGACCATTGTTCCATGATAACGCCTCGGGTTCTGGCTTCGTGAGGAAAGTGTAATAAAATACAATGATCTCAAGTTGACCTGCCCAAACATAGCTTGCACACGACAAACCTGGATTATATCGTAACATGGTTGGTAATTACCTGTATGTTAAAAAATAAAGAGATTGGTAACTGATAACATGCATATTTGTTTCACTGGTACTGAAAAGAAAGTAAATTGGGAACGTTTCATATTTTACTGGCGAAATTTTTGGCAAGTATATTAGTGTGTTCGTTTGAGGTCAATCTTTCGTTGTAAGATAGAGGCCATGTAACAGGAATGGAAGTCCACTAGGAACCGTAGTCCGCTTTCTATTACTTTGTACAGGCGACATTCGTCCCATATACTAACCCCAATACTCCAACTAAACCACCTGTACTACATGTAATCATATGGGATCCCACACTTCCATTCCTAGGACTTCCATTCCTGTTACAGCCATAAAAGACTTCGGTTTCAAAAATATTATATGCTGCTATGACCTAGGATGAACCCTATATTGATTTTCATCAGGATCATATTTACTGTTAATACATAAAATAATTCAGTTTTGAAATAAACATGGGCAAAGCCCATTGACAATTTTTAACAAGGCAGCAAACCTGTCAAATGTGCAACCAAAAGATAGAACATGCATGTAATGATGCACAAAATAGATTATTTTGTCAATGTTGATGCAATAATCAGGGGCGGATCCAGGTTTATTTGGCGTGGCGTGGGTTTATGTACCGGTAGTACCAGTGCGTACCTCTCTTTCACTGTTTTACTTTAGGAACTGACAAGGTACCGATTTAAAACTATGCCATTAAAACTATGAGACACATGTCAAACTAAATTTATAACGCAGACTATGTGACACTATTTTTGTCCACCGTGCAAGGTTGCTCATGTCGTATGCTGCAGAAGAATACTGGGCTCCGTATCTCGAAAGGTTCGCTATGTTGCGCACGTGCGCAAGTGTCTCGATTCCATAACCGATTCTTTCGAGATACGGGGCCATGGAATCGAGACGCTTGCGCACGTGCGCAAAATAGCGAACCTTCGAGATACAGAGCCCTGATTTTACAGTTCTTTTCTTGCAGGATTTACTCACATAACAAAATACTATCCAGGGGCGGATCCAGGATTATTTGAAGGGGGGGGGGGCGCGGATGCGAAGCCGACCCCCCACCCCCAACGCTACAGGGCCCTGAAATTTGTGGTATTTTAGAGGGGAGCGGTGCCATTTGGTACGGTTTAGAAAATTCTAATTTCAAGAGGGGACCGTGGGTGATTTTTTTTCAGAAATCGAAGGGGGGTCAAGACCCCCTGACCCTTGCCCTAAACCCGCCCCTGCTATGGACAGATAACAAATAACAAATGATGGACAGATTCGATAATGTTAACGAAACCGGCATCAGTCAATTATACCGGCTTCGGGTCGAACACCGCCAAGATCTGACCTCACCCGAAGTCAATAATTGTATGTAAATGTAAATACCTTTTACATGCTTTTATAAGCCAAACCGCCGTTTTGCCCGAAGCCGCTACGCCCCTGATGAGCTTTACTTATAGCTCCTCGTCAAAAGCTGAGCACCTTTCAGCATGAATAAGACCTTTATATACAGTGTATATATACTCGGTACAGACATTTAAATAAATTGAAGGAAAATATACCGGAACCAGAAAGGCTAACATTCACATAATGGTCCGTTCAAATGAACGGGACAGTCAGAGTTGGATTTGTCGCTGTGTTTTGTCGTCTACTAGGAGATTTTTACTCAGTCGACTTCGGTCGTAAACAGACGACTTTTTATCTCATTTGGAGACATACATGTACATGTAGGTACATGTATTTGCCATATTGCGATTTTGTTATGTGACAAGAAATTGTTACCTCAGGATATAAGACTCGACTTCAGTTGTGGTTTCTTGGGTTTCTTGAGATCACCCACGAAGTCATTAAATTAAAAGACGATATTGTTCAGTTTGTTTTTATTGGTAAACAACATTGTTAACATGTGCAGAGTCATTGTGTACCATCGATTTGGTTCGATAACGAGCCACAGATAGTTAAATAAAGACAGCCATGTCGTCATCTTAAAATGTCAGGGAATGTAGTCACGAAAAGGTCTAAACCATGCTTCCTTTTTCTAACTTGGTTCATAACCATACTTGCAAACCAAAATTTGGCATAATTTAGGAACAAGTGATCAGTTCTGCAGAAGGCACTTATTGTCTACTTCGTTATCTACATATAAAGCTAGCTCTAACCGGTGGTTAGCTGCTCATGAGCCCCTGCAAAGGTGGAATGACAAAGCGTGGATTGAATAACACGTAAGCAAAAGTTACAACACGAGTCGTCTTGCATGCGACTTACAAGAGCGTATTTATATCGAGGCTGAGTCTCGCTTTAATTTCCTCTTGTATGTTGTATACATTGATCGACTAATAACCGTAACTGACTTATCCCACGGCTGGCGCTTCGAACAATAGAGTGATTGTATGTGTGTTTCCCTTGATCAGAACGCATGAAATACAGACAAAAGTGTAATCGAAATACATTCTTTTGCTCAAAGCGCCAGACGTGGGATGAAAGTCAGTTACAACTGCTGGGGTACTCGTCCACTGTATGCGATATACAAGTACAATAGTGTTTTTGGCCTTTTGCAGCTAGTTGACTAGGTATTGACTTCTTTTGTTTACAAGGAGGAGACCGATGGTATCTTTGGGAATGGGTTCTTATATTTTAAAATTGGGCCTTCATATTCACTACCTTACTCTACGTAGCGGCATCAGAAAAATGCTATTCTGTAGATGCACCCTGGGAGGAAGACCAACAAGGTAACTTGAAGCGAAGGTAGACACGTGTCAATGTGCAGCTTGGACATTATCAACATCATAAAACTAAACTATAGTATGCTATCAGGTTTAAACTGATACACGAACAATGTAGAAACCCGAGGTTACGCATGAATGTTGGTGAAGGAGGACAAAGAAATACTTGTCGGTTCGATCACATCTAGAAAACGTATATTATAACGTGTTTTGCATGGATAAGAAATTAGAAGGTATCGAACACTCAATATAAAAGCGTTTAAAGCACTGTTTTTCGCCGTTGATTTTTACTTTACCTTCTTATGAATTCAAAATGCTAGAATATCATGACAACCGAGAGGATTATTAATTTGTGACTTACACCAAAAGGTTATATGTGAAGGTGTTTCACATACTTTGTGTTCGATAACATGCACTGGCGGATCTGGGATTTTGCTAGGGGTGTGTGTCTGGGAGGGGGGGGGCGCTCACCAAGATGACATTCCTAAATAGAAGACGAAAACGATTTTAATATATTATGTATTACACAGGGATGGAAAATGCTTCGTTTCTTTTCGTTTTATCTTATACTTCATTTCTACTTTCGTTCTGTACATATACATAAATTTTATTTTCTTTTTTTTTCTTTTTTTTTGGGGGGGCGGGGGAGCGGGAGGTAAGGGATGGGCGGAAAAGAGGTACCTTTAAGTGAGGGTGAAGTGAATCACAGTCCCCCCTCCCCGATCCAACAATAAGCATATTTAACTGTTTTCTTTTTACCTGAATGTATTTAAATTGAAGAAGTACATAAACTTTAATGTCCTGCTACAAGTAAAACATCCCCCACCACACACACACACACACACACACACACACACACACTTTAAAAAGCCATGTAATTGTTTAATACTTCAAAAGTTACACTGTTGTTACGTGCTCGGTGAGAGTTATAAAGTTCGTTCGATTTGTAGTAGGCACGTCCACTTTGCTTCGGTTACCGTTTAATTCTTTACACTGTTTCCCCCGAATCTTGATGTTCTGCATCTTGATCAAATTTTCTGTATTTCCCAAGCCATTGCCTATACCACGCTCCTCCTTACCGCGCACGCGCAGACCTGACGTCGAGGTTGATGAATTGGTTCCACCCAAACTATAGGTCCCCACGCGATCCCTCATAGAAAGATGCCGTCGGTTGCAATACAAACATTTGATCATCTCCCGGAATGCATGTCTATATTTGTTACTTAGGAAGGAATAAATGAATGGATTCATGCAGGCGTTGAAATATGTCAGCCATTGCGCAAAGGGAAATAGATATTTTACAATGACCAACCACGATGCTGATTCTTCTACAAGCAGTTCGAAATCAATAATGATTTTGAGGGAGTAGAGTGGGAGCCACGAGAGTGCAAATACCACCACTACTACAGACAGCATCTTGACTACCTTGATCTTGGACCTGTAGATAACGTTTGAGGTGTTTGCCGTGGGACTAGGTGGTCTCCGGTTAACAACTATGACAGTTATCATCGTATAACAAACAGAAATGATAAACAGTGGCACTATGTAGTTCAGAAACAATATGGCTACCATGAAATAAACTTTTCTTTGGTTAGGCAACCAGCCATCATAGCACACCCAAATACTTTGCTCAGGGTGCAATTCGTGCTTGTATACAACAGCCCATGGAATTGGAACGAGGAACGCGTAAAGCCAGATGATACCAATGATCACTTTGGCAGATGATTTGGTGATCTTGTAGGAACTGCAATTGAAGGTGGTGCAGATTGCAAGGTACCTAAAAATAATCAAAAGACGAAAACAAACTGAACACTGTATTGTGAACGAAATATTTCTCCAGTACACAAGAAAGCACCAGATTTGTCAAGTATACATTAATGGGATTGGTGAGATTTTGCACGAGTGTGAGCATAAAATAAATAAAATAATAAAATAATAATACACATAAACACACTCAATCAGTCTTTTCCTTAAATTTCTACTGAAATTTGTTCCGGATCTGGATCTTAAAAACCTTTAAAATGCCCGTTTTCTATACAGTTAACTCCGTTATTAATGCATTTTTACAAGTGTCCAGTTACTTGTCAATATGGTTAATGCTTCTTTCTCTTGACATTTTGATCATTGAATGCTTATTTTGTTTGTTTTGCTATGCATTTCTTTCACTAACAACATGGTGTAATATTGAAACGTAACTAAGCTCCTAGCACTGGATACCTAGGTATTCACCAAAACCACTGAAGTAAACCCGTTCAAAACACAATCTAAATTGCCATTTGTCTACCTTGAGTCTCTGATTCTTGCAGACAACCTTGATAACTTGATTGGAAAAGATCTTACTCCTGTTGAACCAATTTGTGTTTAGAGGGTAGCAAATAAAACCGTGTCTATCATGAGTGACTGTTTCCATCCTGCTCACAACCTTTCTAATTTGTTACCAAGCAACTCCAGTCTTTTAGTTTATAAGGGTAGTAAACGATTTGATGTAGCTTTTATCTTTCAGTTTTATTCATACAGCTATTACAGTGTTTAATACAACGATGCTTTTACAGAGCGATTTATTCCTGGTATTGGATGTTTTATACATTTATTGGCTAAATAAACCTGTATCCTTTTAGCTGACAGAGCACTACAGAGCGCTCAAAATTCTACTCTGACCTTCACTGAACCCGTTCATCATCCGTCTAAACCAAAGCGTCAGAAAAGTTTCTTCCTTGCAGACCATTCCATCAATAATGAGACCCGCACATCTACATCTATCAGCGTAGGCTAGTTTATTGCCTTAATAAGGAATGCAATCTATGACCCGAGCGTGAGACAATAAAAGTCAATACATAGGCCTATATCTGATAAAGCTTCATCGGTGATTGATGATGGGGCTTTGAAAAAGGCATCAACAATGAGATTGATGCCACAATACTGAGACAGTTTTCAGGCCAATCAAACGAACTAAGTGACCTAATGTAATACCCAATTAAGTTGAATCAGATCTTAAGTTGACTCTACTAAAACCGTCTATGAACTTATTTCTTTATTCATGCATTTACTTACTATTCTTTATATATTTTCTTAACCTAAATATTCATCTTTGTAAAATAGAGCCCAGATAACAGACAGATTGCAAAGTTCTCTTTAACCCAAGGTAACATTTGTAGACTGATAATTTTTCTGCCGTTGCCTTGTTTGTCTAGGACCTTACTACATGTAATTGCTTTTTACAAGTTAAAACCCTTATCACCAATATTTTGAAGACAACAAACCAATAGCAAATACTACGTGCAAAAGAAAAGAATCCATTAAAAATAACAAAGCTGTTCGGACCTTTAGATATTCCGGGGCATTTGATTTTGCAATGGATAGATTCACCCCTGTTAATTTAAAGTGAACATCAATGGCGATAAAAGGCTCAAGAACAATTTAAATTTCTTCAAAACATCTTACTTAACACCGATATAAAATCTCATTTAAGGTATTACTTCAAATTGACCTTCGATTAAATCCAGCTATCAATTTATCAGTAATAATTATCAGTTTAAGAAAAATAGAGAAAAAGTTGTAACTGTGGATTTCAAAGTGGCAATTTTTAATCCGTACACTAAAGGGATTCGAGACGTTAGGATCTTTTTTGTGAACACTGTATATCGATTTCAAACAGAATTCCCTCACCCGAACAGCTATCAATACCGTTTTAACGCCTACTTAATCACAACCAAAATTACTGTAAGTCAATGCCAGGAAATTTTCTTGAAAGGTTTGCTTCTGATTTCATCAACAAAATACAAAATGATCCCTTTGTTTAACGGTACATTTTCATTAGGGGATCATATCTCCTAAATAGAAAAAAGAAACTAGAAAAGCACTCAGAGAGCGCAGACCTCCGCCAAGGCAGCAAAGTCTCCATCCAATGCCGTTTCACCCCTAAATTTTCATTCTATAATGGTTTAGTTTTTTGATTTTTGATTATTTTAATAATTAAAATTATTGATTGATTATTAATCCGGATCACCACCAAACCCACTTCTGACAGTTCCTGAAAATTTTATCAAAATCAGTCCATAACTTAGTGTTTTGATTTTGGATTATTGATTATTGATTGATTTTTGAACCAGATCACCACCAAAAACTAATCACTTCTAAGTTAACCCATTTCTGACCTACCCTGAAAATTCCACCGAAATTCACTCGTAACTTTTTGAGTTATGTTGATGACAAACAGACAGACAAACAAACAGGGGTAAAAACATAACCTCCTTGGCGGATGTAAAAATTGTACCACACTTTAGTCCACACTTTAGTCGTCAATCTTGCCAATTTTTTTAAAAAATATCTTGCTCAGTCGAAAAACGATCGCTATTTTCCACCAGTTTACAAAGCATCTAAATTAATGATAAATGATTGACCACCCTGCGTACAGACCGTGAAGGTATCATCGAAAGTGCAAAGCCCTTCTGGCTGTCAAGTTCCTATATTGGTGAAGGTACGAGTGCTCACAAATGAAGAAATAAAAAAGGAAAGTGTTGTTCTGAGGGGTGATGGTATAGATGTCCCCAAGACTGTACACAGGGTTTGCAGAAGGGTGGAGGGCACAGGTGATGACCATAGGTCACCACGAAGAGGTCGCCCAAAGAAGACTAGAGCCAGAGCAATATGTGTCTTTTCATGCTGTCAAAGCTTAGGAGATGTGAACTGTGCAGCAAATTAGCTTTGCAGTGGGCTGCGTAATTTACAGGTTGGAAGTAGCAAAATAACAGTTCAAAGAAAGCTCCATGCTACAGGAATTAACACCAGGGTTGCCAGGAGAAAGCACTTATCATCTTGGTAAACAAATGGAGAAGAGTGGCATGGGATGCAAGAACCATTGTATTTTCTGTTGAGGCCATATTCACTGTTAATAACGTGAGTGGACAAGGGAGAGTATGGAGAACATCATCCGCTTCTTATCTGCCAGAGAATATGCATTTTCTCGCTAGACAGTTCGTTTTAATAATGGTTTTTGGGTGCATTGGCTTCTACAGAATCGGTAAACTGGGGTTGATGCATGAAAACATGAAACACAAGCGTTACACTGACATTCTGGAACAGCATTTTTTCCCAAAAATATATTTGGGACAGGAAACATGAATTCATATTCCAAAATGCTTACGCACACCCCTCAGAGTGGCTTTACCAGCATGGCATCAAAAGGGTAGATTGGCTTGCCCAATCCCCAGACGCAAAGAGAATCTGTGGAATGAGACTGGAAATCAAGTGACAGAGGATCGCCCCTTTACTAGAAGTGCTCTAATCCAAAATGACTTTAGAGCCTGGGCCAACGAAGTCCCAAGAAGAAAACTGGCCGTTATCCGTCTTTGCCAAGAAGGATGGTGGCCATATTGAAACCACGTGGCTAACCTACAAAATATTAATTCTGACACAATAACATGTGTAATTTAAGGACAAAACATTGGTCTGTTAAACTTTACTAATAGAGATACTAACTTGACATAATCAATTTTCAAAAAAAAAAAAAAAAAAAAAAGCAAATTGATGAATCTAACAAACTCAACTGTTATTCACCTTCAAGCAAAATGGTGCAATACGGTGTCAAACTGAACCTAACAAACCCAGCTGTTATTCACCTTCGAGCAAAATCCTATATATATAAGAAACTAGAAAATTAGCATTTTTTCTAAGCTTCGAAATAATTGATAAATAAATTAATATATATATTAAATCAAATATAATCATAAATAATAAATCAACAGGTATGTCAAAGCAACAGTGAGTTAATGCTTACCGATCTATAGCTATTGCTGTCAAAGTAGAAATAGAGCTCACAACAGCGACACATGTGATGAAGGGCAATAGTTTGCACATCAGCCAGCCCATGACCCAACCTAAAGTAAGAAAACAAACAAACTAAAATACAATGTACAAAGAAATATTACATGTATTTTTGAACTGAATTTCAGATTAGCTTTGTCATTCTTTGTCCATATACATCCCTGTAAACATGCAACCAAATATCCTCCTTAACGTGCTTTATTCGACTCACAATGACCCATAAATGTGCTGTCACACCTAGCGTAAAAGAGGTACGTCCAAATATGGTGTGTCAATTACAGTAAGTCCATTATACGCACAAGGTTGAGTGTATAAAATCACCCCTTTTCCAGCGTATGAGAAAGAACAAATAATCAGCGTGGAAATAAGGTATTGAAAGCGTATTTTAAACCGTATAACTTGCGTTTGAATATCGCATGAGTAATTAAGGTGTGTCATCGTATGCGTAACGGATGAGTATTGGATATCAGCGTTTAAGTAGCGTATATTCATGAGCGTTTCAGTGCCGTATATAAAAGTATGATTAGCGCAAATGAGCGTATGAGTAATGTATGTATAACGTGCTTATGTTTTGTTCATAATTATGAAGTGCAGACTGGATTTAATCCAACTGGGATCAAAATTATCTACATCTGTCATCAACCATCATGGGAGGTTGTGATGAAAAACGACAAAAGGTACAGGATGCGTTTGTCACACGGTAATCGTGCGTTAGGTAAACGCAAAATGCGTTCGGCATACGCTTATATACCACAAAGGACAAGACAATATACGGTAGACATACCAGTAAGTTAACATACGTTAATAATTCATCAGAGCCACGTCCCACGTACGCGACTAGTTCGTCAGTATTAGGCTGTCTAGCGTATGTCTAGCGTAGCCCTAGTGTGTAACGTATGGGTAAAGTACGACTCCAACGGGCGTATACGCTGAAAAATTTTGAACGTGCTAAAAGATATCTAGGCGTATGCAAAACGTATACGGCGTAGTAACAAAGATTCAACTGCGTTTGTCTGCATTAGTGCAATGCGCTATATAGTGTGACAGAGTCCAAATTTTTGTCCGTTTAGGTAACTTTAAAGATATGATATTGACCGTTATTTGAACTACAGTTCACTGTTGGTTTTAAAAACACTTTTATGCAGTTCGTTTTTGGGTGAAATCATAAAAATAGTGGATTGCCAACTGGATCAGATCCAATCGGTGTTGTAGAGCTACCCCCGCTCTCTCAAACTGGTAAAGCTATGATGATAATGTGAAAATGGCACTTTATTTATACCATATTATTACAAAGCGTTGGAATATGTTTTCCAAATGCTAATCATGCGCTAGGCATACATTAAAGAGTAAGTGCAATGGAATGCTTTTATTTTCTTAATTAATCATTGCAGATACGTTCAATATCCTACTTGTTCACGACTATTATGTTACACATGCGCTACGCAAAGCCAAGCTACAGACTTGACATTTAATATGGAATATTTCAGTTTCGAATGTATGCCTAGGTAAAAATGTGTTCTTTTTTCAAAAAAACTCCAACGTCATATAAGATATGTGAATGGAGAAGTGTGTAGTCAGGTGTGTTGCTACCAATTAACTGAATACCAGGTTTGTTGCGCTGTTGCAGTATGTAATATGCAGTGATTATGGCTAGTCAAAGCTTTTGGCAGGTCATAGCTTAGCTTTGGCAAAGCATGGTTCTGTCAAAAAAGTATCCATATGTCGGCAACTAATGCATATAATAATTTCAAATTTTGCATGCAAGTGGTCGGTTTTGCAGTGTGTAAAATGAGCTGTGCAGTGCTTTACAACTTTGTTAATCTGTTGCAGAATGGCACGAAAAAGACAGACATTGTCAGACAGATAATTGCGTCAAACGAAACGGTACGCACAGTTTTATAGAGTTATGCCCAGACTGATGTACCTACACAGAGGCCACACCCAATGTATTGAAATCTTACCACCAGGGTATAGGACCCACTGTCTTTCGGGATATGCTGTTGCAACTAAACAAAAACCACCCAGTCCGTTCAGAATGAGGGGTAAATTGCCACCAAAATGCATTTTTCAAGGCCCTTATCGAACACCAAACTGGTTTTAGCAGGTTAGAATAACAGACAACCTCCGAGGAACCCACTGTAAACATCACAACATCGTTGTATGTTTCTCTAATGAATTGGGGACTTTGACCGTTTCTGTGTTGAACACTGAAACCTCGTGGCTTTCCTTATTGAGGGCAGATTTCACCTGTACCGCTCAACTAATCAAAACAGAGTTTACAGACATCCAGAAGAGGCCAACGACGATGCGTGTGCCGCGTCTAAAGTGACTAAGGTCGTTAGCAGTGTCAGTATTTGGAGTGGATACCACATTGGTGCCAAAACATTAATGGTAGTCATCGACGAAAACCTGAACCAGATCAAATAAAGGAAAAATCTGGGAACCACGTGACTATCATTTGATAGGGGGCACCTTAGGAACAATTTTTGGTTGCACGGTGAGATTGCCGGTTCACACAGAGCACTCTTAATAGCATATTACTTACAGAACCAAGGGAATGAGCAGCTACCTTGGTCATCAAAATCACCATATTTGAACCACATAGACAATATGTGGGTAGGCCATTACTCGCCAAATCAATGGTCTACATGTCCTAGAACAAAACTGGACCAAATTGGACAGATTTTTACCGATGCCTGGAATGTTATTCCAGATTGAACTCTAAAAACCTATCCCAAGGAATGCCTTGCCACTTGAGAGCGCTGGTAGCAGCCAGAAGAGGTCAGGCGTAACAGCGACTAGCTGTTACTGTGACTAGACACTGACATAAGGGTCTTTTGTGGAGCGTGTAACTCTTTTACAGACAATAATTTGGAAAATATGCAGATCCAAAATATCTCTTTTAATGGTTGACGTATGACATAGAATAGGCAATGTGTTTTTGTTTGCTTCTCTGGCGAATTCCATTAATGAACTGATGTCCCAATGACATCAAAGAGATAATTAAAAGTTATTAAATCGCGATTTTAATCCTTATTTTCATTTATCAGTCAGCAAAATAGGAAAAAAACTGATGAAAAATGATTGGGAAAAAATATTCCATATTAAATGTCAAGTCTGTATATCGGTCAACGTATGAAAAACTTATCGTAATTTTAACTTCATTCTACCGTACGCTGAAAATATTCCCTCTGCGTATCAGAATGTGCACCAACGTTTACCTGCATACGCGAAACGTATACGACGTAAAGCTTTCAAATCCCTTGCGTTTGTCTGTGTATGTGAAAATTTTCCCATACATGGGTAGGCCTACTATACGCTATAGTGAGACATGGCCTTTAGCGAAAAGATACAGATAAAACCCGCTGGTTTAAGTGGCAACCAGCCAAAAGCTAGGCTTACATAATTCAAAAGCTTCGCAGAATTGAAGTATGCCGGGGCAACAAGTGTATATTTCCTGCTTGGAATGATCACAGTTATATCTTCTCAGGGGAAAAACTTTTATAGTTCTGAATGGGTATGTGACATTCTCTGTTGGATGTCCGAGATCAACATTGTCTACTAATAGATTATATGCGCATCAGCTGGCCTCTGGTACAGAGTAACACATATTGCCGTAATTGGGTCCGACAAGGCTTATTTTGCTATTGAAATTTTAATATCCATGTCGTTGACTACTGCAGTAATTTGAGGGCGATTAGTTCTAAAAATGCAGGTTCGTCCAATAGACACTGAAATTGCTTGAATGCTCTCAAAAAAGGGTGCAAGAGACGAAAGAAAACAGTTCGGCTACTATTTTAAATTATGGTAGAAGGTCTATTTCTAATTGAATATTCGGAAGGCAACTCGCGTTGATTTTGAAAAGCATGTCTAGAAAACATCATTAATTTCTGCATTCTTGATCCAGAAATGACCCGTTTTAAAACAGTTGGCGTTATTCGGCAGAAATCACCAAATTTGACATTTTCCTCAAATCCTTTGCTAAATAATACAAGCATTCCACCTGCCTTAATCTCAACACCAGTGACATATCAGAGTTCCATTTTTTTCTCTGAATTGAAAAAGACTGCAGCTTAAACATATTCAAAACGACTTTCACAAAAAAATAAAGCATTTAAGTTCTACTTTAGATACTAAACTTTTGAATGCAATATACCCGCTAAAAATCCTACCCAACACTCATTGCAGGCATTCCAGGCATTCGAGTGGGTCATATGTCTGAGATGGTAAATGAGGTCTTTCACGAAGGAACTTTAACGCTCTGAATGTATCTCTTGAGTCTGAAGCAATAGATGTGAAATGTGTGCCTTTGTCACATTTGGAATTGCGATCGCGTCATTGATCTTACAATATATAGACTAAAACATTTCCAAAAATCAATAGGCAAAGCAAGCAAAGATGTTCACTTTTCAGATTTCAGTTTTCAATAATGTCTCGAAGGATACATTTAAAGTTGCTGCACCTTTGCTTCTATTCCAGTGAAATTGAACAATAATAGTCTGGAATGGTTGGCGACCAGCGGGACTGGTAATTAGACTTCTATCTTCCCTAGAGTAATCTTTGTGATAAGACAGCATGCCAAAGGTCGAGTCAGTGTATAAACTAGATATACTAAATGGAAAAAAAACAATTAACCAATAAGTGATCATACATTCACAATGGATAGTTTTGGGGTTGCCTAATATAATTTTTATTGGTTTGGACTACGGACTTTTACTATGTACATCTTCCTTAACCTAGCGAGAACCTTTGATCATTTAACAGTACATAAATAGCTCTGACTGTATGTAGCGCAAAGCTATGCTGATCAAATTCACAGATTTTAACACTTTAATTTACCTAGATTTCTCCTGAGTGTGGAATGCAATTACAAACATTGCTATCTGCATGGTGCCTAGGTTCAAACTTTAACACTTGATTTAATATCGATGTCTGATTTTCATTGGACATGTATAAATTGTTCACATGTACAATGTTTGGGGGTGAATGGTGGCGTTTGACCTCAAATGAATAAAAGAGAGATTGGTTAGATTTTATGGGCAGACACTTGTGGCTGTATTTTCAAGCAGCTCCTCATCCTACCCCACCCCACCCCAAAGGGAAAAGGCACGCCTTCCCCTGATAACGACGATCATTGATGACATAAGGCTTAGGAGAATGGGAACAAGGGTGGATTTATTCCAACTCTAACCCACATTTTAGCAAGCCAATCCGATGCACAGGAAATAGGAGCTAAGCGGGTGCAGTGCATTTCTTAAAGCCAAATTTGATACTTTCGTAAGTTATTGAAATGGGCCGAAACCCCAGTCAATCGTTGGCTAGGTTTTTTTTTTTTTTTTTTTTTTGCTGTTACCTGTACCCCCTCCCACGTACTATTAATTTTTTCCTGAATAGTTACCCCCTCTCCCTTCCCCCACACTTAAAAATCCCCTTACGCGCTTGGATGATGATGATGATGATGAAGGAATAAATTGCGTATCCAAGGGGTCTGAACTACCAAGAAAGAAGTACGTTGAGTACAGTAATAACTCTAGTGTTAATTTTGTCTCTTTTACACACAATTCACTTAAAATGATATAAGTGCGCCGAGTAGCTATAAATCTCTCTTTGTCCCAAATGTGCCCATAAAATTTAGCAGAAGTGCTGAGATTGCTTTTGCCTCGAATTGGCAAACCATTCTATGTACACCATAGTCTGGGCATAAGTACGCTCACCACCAGTGGCAAATTTCATGTACACATTTGGGACAAAGAAAACCATAGAATTTTGTTAAACATTTAAGTATAAAACGCAGAAATACGTCTCCATGGCCCGATATTTAATGGCCAGTTAAAGATTGCCAAAGATTATTGGAAACAGTTGTGTTTCCCATGAGTCGTCCCTAAAGCCCAAGTGCCACACTACAAGAATCACGCTTAATTCAGACTGTGTTTGCAACTCACTTGAATTTTGCTTCTAAACAAGTTTCTGGCGAGCGTATTCTAGGATGTCCCATTATGAGCAAACGTCATGATAAAGAATATCTCTACACTGTTAAACTAATAACCTGCACTTTTTGTGATTCTGAAAGGAGAAAAGCGCTTTAATCAAACGCCACCTTCCTATAAAGGTTTTTATCAATATTTTTTAAATTGAATATGGATAAAATGTTTTATGGATTTAATTATCTATCCTTCATTAGAGGAAACAAAATGATACTAACAACTTTTAAGTTAATTTCTAGATGAGAGCTGTGACAAGCAATGTGACCATTTGTTTGGGAAAAGTGCAGTTTGCTGGTGGGAAAAAATGAAGAAGAAGAACGAAGAGCCCATACTAAGCAATAAGGATTGTCACATGTAGCTGCATACCCGAAAACGATTATTGCAAGACGTCACCTGTAACGGTCGATAAATCTGGACGAGCGGTAACATGTCAAAGAATAGGAAAATATGTTTTCATATGCCTCCCACTGGCGTTATCTACTTTATAAGAGAAGAGTTTGCTGTGATGATAATGACAAACAGCACGCTTACAATTGCACGCACTGTGGGGTTTCTTCTAAAATCATTGATATCCAATCAATGATATCCAATCATTGATAGCCAATCCATAAAAAACATTGGTAATGTTGAGTAAAGTGAAAAGCAAATTCAAAATTTCGTTGTTATAAAAGAAAGCGTACAGAAAACATGACAAACAGCGTTTGGGGTGTAAAAAATATTGCGTGTGTGTCATATTCCTATAACAAAACCTTGATCCAATTAATTCATACGAACCTAGTAATGAGCATCATTTATCCGAATATATACAACATCAGTGACTTGTTGCAGAAACTCAATGTTCTGAGGATTAGCAATTATCTTTGAGCCTTACTATTAACCCTACTGAGCACCCGTGGCATCAATTGGAGTGTTCATTGCAAAGGAGAGCCAAATTAAACTACCAATAATCTGGACCGCCTCCGCCAAGCTATTTAGAAAAAAATGGGACAATATCCCGCAAAACCGAACCATTACCCTTGTTCAGGCAAGCCGTGCCGCCTACGGGACATAATTGCAGTACGCGGTAGACAAACACGCTATTAGACAGTGATTTTTAACGAGCACGCCCTAATGAAAATTGTGTGTAAATTAGGTGATATTTGGTGTTGTCTTTTTAATTAAATAGACATTTCTCTATCTCTGTGGAAATCACAGTGAAACAGCGGATTTGAAGGGGTACATGTGATAAATGTGAATAAACAGTATTTAATATGCATATCTTAAACGCTATTTTGTATTTTCTGTACCATTGGTTATGTTAGTTAAGGTATCTGGAATATAAATCACTATTCATAACAATTTACACCCGTGATGAGATAATTTGTGAATAAGAGCACAAGACACCGTGGGTGGGACAACCTTTTTGACCAATGTTGTACGTTGTACATATTTATACAGCTCCATTTTAGTAGCGTGTTTCTGTAAATGGAAAATGGGGGATACTGCGCTAGACTGATCCTTGGCATCTTCATGACTGATACAAATATAATTAACTAGTCAGGGTGTACTTTTTGATCAAAGAGATGAACATATATAAATTATACTGATACGCAGATATACAGACAACAAAAAAAAAAAAAAACATATTATTAATACATATATGTCTCTAAGACCAAAGTGGCTTTCTGATAAATTGCGGCCTGCTTCCGGTGGCCGTTTTGACGTCATACCGATATTGAATAATTCCGATTATCAGACCTTTGGTTTCCTTGGTAAATTGCCATGTTTATTTTGTAATTAATGGCAATGATGCCGCAAATTCTGCTTCACGGTGCCAATAAGTGCTGCTTATAGCTCAATACGCTCAACAAGACCACAACAGATGAAAAGATATTGAATCAACATCCAATTCATGTTTGAAAATTAAACTTACGCTAATTTTATTTCATCACATGAAACATACTGCTTCTTTTAAAGCAAGTAAAGCAATTTTCACGCTACATTTTCACACAAAAACACCGCTACTCTTAAAGCTTCAATCTCAATACTTGCAAACAAAATTCTAACGTAAATGCATTATGGTTATTTCTACCTTTTACTTTGATGTTGATTGTGCAAAAGAACAGTTCCGTTTACCTATTAAATAACTTGACATATTGTTGAAAGTGAGACCAATCCTAGGATCTAATTATCAATCAGTCGTAACAGTAATGTCAAATGAACCATACCAACCTTGTTAATGTGTTCTAGAAATTGTTCACCTTAACTGATCTTAAATGTGTGGGCCTTAATGTGTCATCTTTAAATTATTTCAAATGACTTTCATATAGGCAATTTATCATGTCTACTTTCAATCTGACTGTTTTCACAAAATACCAACGTGCAACAAAATTCTATATATTATCGAAGTACTTGATAGATCATATTTAGCCTACCTTTTATGTTTATAAAAGAATTCATTGCCATTGTAATAGATCAATTACATTTATCAATAAAAATGTCTTTAAAAATTCTATTTACTGTTTTCAAGCGGTGGATTTACAACTTACCTGAATATATGTGCGTGACCAGAGTAGGCATTATACACACGATTGAAGATAATAGATCAGCAACAGCCAAATTCCCAATGAAAAAATTGATCACCGTGTGCATCCATTTATTTTTGTACACGACAGCGATCACTAAAGAGTTCCCAAAAACTGCTAAAACGAATACTATTGTGTAGACGAGACTGAAAACTGTTATCGTGCCGGGGGACAACTTGATTCGTGAGGACACGGTTCCATTTTCTCCAAATGCAAATGAGCTCTCGTTGTCACTCATATTTAAAACGATGTTCCCGTACATACTGGAAATTAGGTCCTGTCTGGTATTTCCGCAGTGATATTAGCGATGACCTCTTTGTCGACGGGTTGATCACAAAGTAGTGCGAATGCAGGCTTGACCATGTCGTACATTTTACACTTCATTAATTAAAAAAATTGATGCTTTAATATCCTAGAAACGTGTTCATTAAATGACAAGTTAGCATCCGACAAACACTTATAAATACTGTTTCATCGCGAGGCAATTTCCAATGTAACGCCTGATAAAGGGCCTCCCTTTTAAATACCCTCGCTGTCATGACGTCACTTTGTCAGAGACAATATGCTTCCCTCATTGGTGTGGATGGCAAAAGACAACCAGACTTCTTATGGTCAGTACAATAGCGCTGCAGTTCCACAGTGGTCAAAATACACGACTGTCATTTGTCACATTTCAAGAAGTGTCGAAAGATTTTACCTTTACAAAAAAATTATAGAGCCGGAGGGATTATTTTCCTGCAATGAATATCACTAGGTAGGAAATGCATTTCTATACATACATCTGGAGTCTTTGTAATAGGCTTAGATCTAAAGCTGCTAAACGAATTGTACAAGAAAAAATGTTCCTATCATGACGTTCTCTAACAAATAAATGAAGCACTATGAGAGATTTTAAATTATCATAACCGTCATTCGGTCACCCGAGGGAATGGACAATTGCTGCATATGGCAGATTTCCTTACCAAGAGTACTTTTGATTTTGTTCTTATACGGATGCTTATAAACCCCGTGCATTTTGTTGTTGAGCAAGATGCACAAGTGGCAGCTTTACTTAAAAGTAAAAATCTTAATTTCTCCTCTTTCCGTTTCTACACATTAGCTTTTCTAGAGACTAATGACAAAGAAGTAAAAATTATAAAGACGAAAGACAGGAATAAACGAAAATCGTGACTCCATTATGTTCAAATTAATTCAGCTGTTCTAGGAAAAAAGTGCAAAGCACAGAGGCTCGCGCGTAACGTAAATCTATTCATTATTCTATGGGGTCATTCTGCTGAATGTCAAATAAACTTATTAGGATGGTAAGCACGTGCTAATGAACACAGTTAACTAATGGTTGCCATTGGTCTACATTCGATTTTATTTTTTAACGCTTGAAAGCAAGGTAAGTGACACGTTCTTGTGGTAAAATGCCATCAGAATACGCAGATCATAAGGCAGGGTCAGCGGAATTTCTCATGGCAAACACGACGAATTCCTTGAACAATCGATTAGTCAGCAAGAGCTGAAAATTTTTTCCGACAAACAAAGTGTTGCGTGAGTGCACTTACTGAATCATTACGTGGAAATTGAAAGATATCCTACTGTATATATGGTTTCCTGTTGTTGGTTGATAAGAAGACGAGAGAAGGATATCACGTCCCTTTTTACAGGTGGCAGTGATGTGACTGATGACGCAATGTAATACGTTTTGTGCCAGTAGTTCATGTAATACATTTTTAAAATATTGAAACGTACTATTGTTGGTGCTGAAAAAAGGATGTCATTTGCTTCATATTTCCCTCACAGCGCAATATCTTATAGATAAATTATCCTGTGAAACCATAATCACTTTAAAACCTACTTATTAAAGGTTATGGCAAACTTAAGGTTTTGAACAATGTGTCGATGAAAAAAAAACATATGAGGGACTGTGGCTTCCACAACGTATCTTTGAGGTAATGTACAGCATGAGAAAACACCATAGGAGAATAAAAATGCAAAACCAATATCACTGACACGATAAAGGTCATCATTAGTTTCGAAAGGACGGGTAATAAAAAGCTGTTTTAAGGAAGAACGTTAGAATTTTTTCTTGTTTGTCCGTGATCATATCTTAGACATAATATCAAACACAAAAAATTTACTCATTTTATTGTGATATTATGTCAAAATAATAATAATAATAATAATAATAATAATAGTATTAGTATTATTATTTCAACTCTAGGCAGGCCTTAAACTTTTTCTGCCATACAACGCTAAAGTCAATGACCTGTCAATGACCTGTTACCCATATTTTAAGCTTGCCGTGAAATTTGATCAAGACTTTCGATTTGACATGAACAGAAAACATAACTTTGTCATTTTCCTTGTTACAGAAAGGGATACTATATTCTATCTAGCATTTTCTATAGAATGTTCTTCATATCAGCCTACGCAGTACACAATGTATTACGGTTTGGGTATGTGTGAAATTTGTTGCGGGTCACCCTGCTTTACGACAGATTATATTCTGGGATTTCATAGCGGTATCGAATTGGTAAACTTTGCGGATTATTACCTGTCGTCACCTTCTCAATGCAAATTGTTTCTTTCCCATTGACTATACTTTGAAATCTGAAACTGATGGTATTTTAACGGTGCTGTGTGGACGTACCCCCTAGCGACAATCTTCCTCCGATACTAAAGACCAACTGAGTGATGACATTAATTCCACAAGAAAATTGAAGCTGGACAACAGTACAGGAAAGCATACAGTAAAAGCCAGAGATATACCTGTGAATATCTAGTGAAAGATCAATCTGTGGCCCTGGTAGAGGGTAGCAAAATAAAGCTCTACAGCCATTTCCTCAAGAATGCATTCAAGTGATATACGCAGTGTATGAACCATAAAATAGCCATTTATATGTATTTGCCCGTAGTTAATTTTCAATTATTAACTCCAATGGAAAAGAGTTGATTGTCTCTCTTGGGCCATGGATACGGATGCACCAATTTGTTTCAGAGAAGAGGACAATCTTAATGAGTCCTCTCACCTGCCCCCCCCCCCTCCCCCTTTTTGAGCCTAGGCACCGATACGGGAAATGTTTGCTGGATAAGGTATTGCTAGATTTTGCATTAAAAAAGATAACAGGATGCCATGGGTAATAGTTACGGAAACCATCATAAATGGCTCATGTGGCAATATTCCTGATGATGTTGATCAATTTTGCAACTTCAAATGGCTATGAAGTATTCTGAAACATACATGCATGTCTTTTATGGGTAATTGATTTCCTGATGCAGTCAAAGGAATTATCAAAACCAAGATGACACTAACATCTTGTCTTTATAGCTTTTACCGTAATATACGCCTACGTGTAGGCCTATGATCTTACCAATAAATAAGAACGATGCCTGACCAGTCTGTAAACTAGTAAGAATCACTTAAAAGGTACTCTACGCAGGATTTACACGGCAAGATGAAATTGCGTTGAGGGAAAAAAAGCGATTTTCTCCCACTCACAAATTATTGCTTGACCTGTCCCTGCTCTTGGACTTAATGTCTTTTCTTCATTTTTAATTCAAAAGAAAACATTGACGCCAAGCACTTTTATTTGTGGGGTTTCATATCTTTCAAGGTCTGAATAAGGAAAGATTAGTAGCTAATTTGCAGTGATATGGAGACACTGAAAACATGACTTTGGGAAATTTTCAAACGCGCACAGTTGGCCTATGCCTTAAACGTTCCATTTTTTTTACATTCGATTCTTAGATCTGATATTGGGTAAATATTTTGCCATTTTCTTATAACAATGGTCTGACAATTCGGATTTCGAATCGATTTTCAGACTTTGGGCTAAGAAACTGAAAGCAAAGCTTTTTACACCTTTTTACAAGGTGGACAGAATCATTATTTGAAAACCAGCATATTTTTTACTGTAATAACTGTTAAGTACCCCCCTTTCATCAAGTCTATACATTTTATTACAGTTCTAATTATAATCAATGTAGAAAGATATGTTTGTACGCCTACTCACGTTAATGAAGACCTCAAAAACCACTGATACAAAGATTCAAACAGAAAGTGAATGAGAAATCGAACTAAGAAATTCAAGTCATTGAGATACAGTGTGAAAAATTCTACAATGAAAATGATGGAGGAGTGGTGCATCCTCGTTGACTTGTGTGTACATGTATGAATAGCAGAGCAGAGTTACCGTTAGTACTCAGAAATTCGGGGAAACACAATACACAGACCAATGGGTCTTTTCGACGCCTTTTGCACCTATAAACAATGTACACACCCCGTGTGTTATTAGCCCGTCTCTAGAGAGAAATGAAGTTATGGTTAGCGTTACCTTTGAACAACACAAGGAAACGGAGTGGCTTCTTATTACATGGAATAACGAAATGGCGATTTGCCATTAAGGATACATCTCAATCATTTCCTTCATGAAGGTGCCACTTTCCCTCCTTCGGGCCTACTTAGGCCAGTTATAAAAATTATATCCAACCATTTAGTTTTTTTTTCTCATCGCGCCGTCTACTTTCCATAAAGCGACTTTTAGCCTCGCCTGTGGGATGTACTACAATAAATCCCACTTTTAAAACCAAAAGTTGGTCATATTCATCTAAGATCTAATATACCGTTTATTGGCTCTTAGGTTTGCTATTGGATTAAGATCCCAGTGTACATCTACAGTATGTCCACAAGACCCTCAACAGTCTACAGGTAATAATCGTACATTCTACACGCATTTTTTCTTTTCATGTCCATCTTTTAAAACAGGCCAGACTAGTTACTTTATTGGTGGAGCTTCGAATTTTAGTATTTGCTGTTGTCGGGTTTCGTTAAAGTGACGGACTTTGCCATTTTCCGTTTATGATCTACGTTTGAGTTATAGGATGTCATTCATTTCTTTTCTTCTTTTACCAGAGGCAAATTTTCTGTGATGATTTTGAATGCTTCTGGGTTATTTGTTGATACAAACTTTTTTCTTATGTGGTCCTTTGTCAGGAGCATTTTTTCCAACCATATTCATGTATTCATTTCCTTGGATATAGTCTCTTCAGAAGATACCCCTATGATTTAGCTCGACGTCGTTATTGTACAGGTATCAGTGCAGTGTGGTCTTACTGGAGACAAATGAATATATTCGTTTACGTAGTTCAATTGAAAGGGATGCCGTGTTGTTTCATGTCTGGGATGACACGAGTCGAACGGAAGGTACCGGTATTATTTTGAGATTTGAGCATTCTGCAAAACATGTCCAAGTCAATTTGCCCCTTTTCATTTTTTATTTCAGTAGTATTTATCACTAAAGGGAATACATTGCTATTTCAGGTACATTTCAATTCCTCTGTAATAAAGGTATTTTGATCCTCCTTGAGATGTCTTCACCATACCTTTTTATTCAGTATTCTATTGCCCGAATCATGGGAAATATCAGAATACATGTTCGTGATGTCAAAAAAGGTGCAAGTTTCTATTACAGCAATCATTTTTACTCATAGATGCAAAGATAATTGAACAGGATACATATTACAGACTGTATTCATAATAACAATGAATCACTTTAAGAACTCCCTGGAAGTGCAATCCAACTCAATTCAATCAAAATCACCAGCGTCTTTGTTAAATCTTTGTGTTATATTAAACAAGGCAGCAAGGCTGTCAAATGCACAGACACAAAGCAGAAAATAACAAATGAAAGTGTGCAAAATGGGGTTTTTGTAAACTGCTCTGAAATATTTAATAATGTTTAACAACTTAATCACCAATTTTTATTTATTTCTTTATTTATTTATTTATTTATTTATTTATTTATTTATTTATTTATGTGGACATGACAGGAAGCACGGTAACCGATAATAGCAAGTGTGAGGCAGATATCAGGACAAGAATTGGTACAGAAATAGATGTTTCAGAACATACAGAAGATACTCAAAGACAGGAAAATGAAAATTAAAACAACGCTATATTTATTCTATACTGGCATATAGCAGCAAATGCTGGATTATATCCAATATAGTGGCAGAAAGTCTGCAGGTTCTAGAAATGTGGTCCATGATAAGGGTGCTAAGGAATTGTGGAAAGAATATATCAACAGTAAATATGCCCTAGAAAGAGCTGAAAGGGAAAGAAGTTTACTCAGAACAATAAGAAAGAGGCAATTAGAGTTATTTTGACATGTGATGAGGAAAGCAGGCTTAGAGTGTTCAGAGTGAACGTTGCAGTATTACACAATGCTTATAAGCGTAATCACCACCAAATTTCAAAAATGTACTACAGGTAACATAATCATTCAAAATGTAACTCGCAAAGGGTGTCAGGCCCATGGAAGTTCACACAATGACTATGCCAATTGGTGAAAGATAAAAATTTCAAAAAGAAAAAAAATAACTTCAAGAAGAGGAATCATTAAAGGGTGGTTTTTAGGCCTAAAATTGACAACAGCTATGACAATGACAGATGCAGGTGATGGCTATATGTACAAACATGCTGTGCCTGTACATAAAAAGCAATTCCTTCTGAAAAACCTCTTTCTTTTTAAGGTCACGCAAAGGTGACATGCCATCACTGTACATGTAGATAGCATTCTTCAACATGATGACTGTCTGGCCTACTTGGAAGAGAAGCAATGAGAATTGCGCAATTAAAATCCACATGGCTTTTAAACCAAATACATGCCCTATCCATCTTTAAACTGGGTCTTAGATTCAAATAAGTGTCTTTTACTGCATGTTGTTTTGTGGTATCCTGTGAGACATTTAAATCGGAGAAACAGTTATTACAGTATGTAATATACTGTGATTATGGTCCAATATCAAAATCATTTTAAAAACACACCAAAAGTTTTAATTTGAAAAGAGGTAAAGTGTATGACAGATTAACTTCTTTCTGTGTTTTTCTTTCTTTTTAAAGCCTGTCAACATGGACTCCCATTCCAGCACAAGGCATATATTAAAAAAAGAAAAAAAAAAGATTTCCACAGGACAGTAATTTTTCTGACTTTAATCAACAGCAAGATGTTTGAGGCTTCCACAACCGAGACCTGTCAAGCTGAAAACTCTGTTTTGGTTTCTTGTCTTTTTTACTGAGCTATTCTTATTACTGCTTCTTAGAAACAATCACAACAGCTGAAGGAACCAAACCTGAAATTTAAAAACAACAAGTCACATCAATTTTATGGTACATATGCTACTGCCGGGTATTTTTCTTAAGTAAATATAAATACTTGAGTTTTAGCTCAACATTATATAAAAAAACTATTAAATAAATTATTGACAACTGATAAAGTAGATGTTGCTGATGGATAGCCATTGCATATTCCCATACATTGGCACATTGCCAGGAGTACAGACCCCACCCCAAAGATATCTGTCACTGTATCTTGATTACTGATGGTATACATCAAAATAACAACATAAGACATCTGCCTTAATGCTTGGTCATTTAAGAGTATTAGTGAAATCTTAATGTGAAAAAACAGAATGATCCACCCCCAAGGATTGCAACCTTATGTCCCTCATGGGATGAAGAAATTAAGTAAGTACCCCAGGGACCTGCACACCCTTATATATATTCTTAAAAGAAGGATTCAATAACAATAACAATAACAATAACATACCAATGAAAAAAAAATTCAAAATTCACATCTATCTGCCATTTGAGGTCATAATTTGACAACCTGACCCAGGGCTCATTTGCACATTCTTTTTTACTAACATGCTCATAAAATATCAGCAAATACAATAACAGATTAAAACTGGGCCGAAAATACAGACAATTATACAGACAATTAAGGGGACTTCAACTGGTCTACTGATCAAACAGATGAACTTTTCTCTGTCCTGTCATGTAATCTGCATGGAAGATAACTTAATGAGCCCTTTAAGCCAACACAGACAACCAAGTTATGGCCATTGTTATCACTCAGCTGTATACAGTCACTCTCATACCAGTGGCCATTCATTCCCTATGGAAATTGTTACCATCTTGGACGTTAAAGAACTGGTTCAGAAAGGGACAAAAGGAAGCCATTTATGAGAAGGCAGAGCAGCCAAGCCTTAACAAACGGGGAGGGTGATGGTGACGTTCCACCTGCCCAGGACACAGAACTGGGTAATCAGTTATCTTCCATGCATATTACCCAACAGGACTGTCAGGCTCGTATTTCAAAGGAGGGGGTCTAATTCTGAAAAAGGGGACCTTTTACCGTGAAATCAAATTTGACCCAAAATGGACCTTTTCCTGGCAGAAAGGGTGGTTCGTTTGTACCCTCTAGCTGAACCCTGGTTATGGCCCGACTGAGAATTGTTCAATCTGTTTTCTCAATAGACTGGCTGAAGTCTTGAAGAAGGAGCACAATATCACCAACAAAACAAATTTGTAAGTTCAGTAATAGATAAAAATAGTTGTTTTCCAGCAAAAATCATGAAAAAATCTGATCATGCTGATTTCTGAAGGGAACAAAACAAAGTTATATAGCATATTTGAAGTAAAACAAATTAAGGTTTGGCATGTGTGGGGTTAATATCACCAAAATACATACAAATAAAAACCAACAATTTTTGTGAAATGTTAATTTCTTAAGGAAACTTTTTTTAATAAACAGAACCACTCAGTAAATTTTTAGTAAAAAATTGGTTTGGCAGTTATAGGGTGAACAACAATATGCATCAGCAAGAATTCTTTTTAGCTTAAGGATAAAAATGGAAGCTGAAACTGAGAACAGTTACCCACCAAGAACAGAGAGCGGCTTCTCCATATCTTCATCTGTGAATACTTTCCTGGGGAATGTAGTCATTAAAGAAAAAGGTCCATCCCCATCTGTTCTGTGAGTATCAACATAAAGTCTTACTGCTTGAAGCGGTTCCTTGACACCAAAACTTTGGGTTAGAGCTTGCCCATTGCTTAATCGGATCTGAAATTATCATTTTGAATCAACATGTTAAAGTGGGATCTTATTTTCTAATATTCAATCAGTATGGTCAAATTGCCATCCTTTTTAACTATCACTCTTTTATCATCATAATTTTTTTGGTTACAAATGGTTTTCAGCTGACTGCTGTTAGATGTATAAAATCTGAAATAATAGACAATCTGTTTTTTTCCTCTGTAATATCTTACACAATCTAATGTAACTTTTAACTTTACTTTCCAGTTACAACCTTTTAAATTCAGGGGATGTAAGATGAGGCTCACTTTTATATTCCTCACTCTTTTTGTGGTAAACAAAAGATTAAACAATATTTACAGAAGGAATATTTCGTTAAAAGTTTTACAAACTATGAAATTTCCAGTATGCAAATAAATGTCTATAAGATTTGAAACAAGAATTTTTAAAAAACTACCAGGTTTAATCATTGAATCTACAGTCAGTTTTAGCTGAAATAATCACATTCAGTTACAATATGTAGTTTCATGATACAGAAATGTACATAATCATCAAATATTTATCAGTGATGAATTCAAATATCTATGTGAAAATTTAAATTTCATCGGTATAATTTCGAATACAACTATACTATTATATAAAAAATTCTCTCAAACAGGGACAGATCTGGAATTTTTTACCTGTGGGTTTCCAAATGTTCAAAATAATTAAGGTTCATCAAAGACCATTATAGAAATTTGTTGTATGTATATTAAAATAATGTCTTAATCTTAGATTTAATTGATGATTAATTTTGATTTTCAAGCTAAAATGCATGAGCAGTTTTTAATGATCTGGAATCTTTAAGATTTTATCTTTATTTTAGGTTCATTCAACATAAATAAAGAGATGTGTGAAAGTAATCCATTTACTTTTGTCATCACTTGTATTACTATGCTAAAGAAATGCTTGGCTGTTTCCTTCATTGTTAAATGAAATTTTAAAAACTTTAAAATGCATATCAAGAACTAGAAATGTTAAATTATTGCTACTAAACCCAACCAAATGTCATCATACAGTAACTAGTTTCAATTAGTATAGAGATAGTTTACCACAGGGCTTTGCTTCATTATTGCCACCCACAGCCGTAGGTACATTGCACAATTTTCCTCTCTGTCACTTAGTTCATCTATAGTCAAGCCAATTACCCACTGATGCCATCAGCTATAACAAGCTGGTCACCCTATGCCAGGCCAATAAGCAGTCAATGCTGTGGGTTTTAACAAGCTGATCACAAATATATTTAGGAAGATAAGATCAATTAGTTAGGCCCTTCACTGCCATTAAGAAACTTTTCACTGCTTTTAAAAAAATGTCACCAACGCCATACAAACAAAGCTAATGAATGTCATTGGTTTGTCATGTAAATTCCTTGAAAAAAGAATACCTTCACTTAAACCACAGAAATTTGGAAAAGACCATAGTTCTTTTAAAAAGTGTATAATTCATTATCTTCTAAACAACTCCATACACTTCATAATCTGTAAATTTATAGAATGCCATAACAAAACATGTTATTTTTAAATAAAATTAAATTTTTCTCAGGCTCATCAAAGACCATTATAGAAATTTGTTGTACAGTATATTAAAATAATATGCCTTAATCTTAGATTTAATTGATAATTAATTGATTTTCAAGCTAAAATGCATGAGCAGTTTTTAATGATCTGGAATCTTTAAGATATGTTTTTTATCTTTATTTTAGGTTCATTCAACATAAATAAAGAGATGTGTGAAAGTAATCCATTTACTTTTGTCATCACTTGTATTACTATGCTAAAGAAATGCTTGGCTGTTTCCTTCATTGTTAAATGAAATTTTAAAAACTTTAAAATGCATATCAAGAACTAGAAATGTCAAATTATTGCAACTAAACCCAACCAAATGTCACCATACAGTAATAGTTTCAATTTGTATTATATATAGATAGTTTACCACACGGCTTTGCTTCATTATTGCCACCCACAGTCGTAGGTACATTGCATAATTTTCCTCTCTGTCAATTAGTTCATCTATAGTCAAGCCAATTACCCACTGATGCCATCAGCTATTATATTATATATATTATAACAAGCTGTTCACCCTATGACAGGCCAATAAGCAGTCAATGCTCTGGGTTTTAACAAGCTGATCACAAATATATCCAGGTAGATAAAATCAATTAGTTAGCTACTTTCACTGACTTAAAGAAACTTTGACATCACTGGCATGGAGAAAATGGTTGTCAACCGGATTAAACATGTTTGCCTCTGTTTCTTCTGCATATTTGCATAAGAAAAATTGAAAAAGCTATGATAGTGATGCGAGTGGTGTACCAACTGTGCTGCCCCCTACTCAATGGTTCTACCAATAAGATGTATATTTTCATCTGTGCAAAATGATGCAACACAGGCTGCACAATATGATGCAACACTTTCACCCATAAACATAACTTTAAATCTCCACTTATCAAAATTTCAATCAAAAACCACTGAGAACTTGTCAACATACAGTGTTCATGTTCCCACTATTAGATCCTTTAGCCTTGGACCCATCATACAGCAGTCCATAAAGACCTGTACTTAACTACTCACTTGCAATCTAGTCTGGTCATAGTCTTTCTTTGGAGCCTCTTGCTGTGTGACAACAGGTGCTGCCACTGTTGGTTGATTTTCAGTGTCAGCTTCTTTAGCCTGAGCAAACTGGGAAATGGCACAACCAAGGACATTTAATGCAATTATTACAATGAATGTATTTCAAATGTATCTCAAAATGTTCTAACTGAAGGCTTAACCTAATCCACTTTTACATTTTACAGAATAAAAATTTACATTTAAAAAGACAGCAAACACATTTGTAAGTCAAATCACATATAAATAAAAAGTACAGAACATTCAGCAGTGTGTTGGGGAAAAAGTGTAACTTAACATACCTTCTTAGCTCTTTCTCTTTTATCCTTTTCAATTTGTTCTTTGACACGTTGTCTGGAAAGCATAAGGTGACAGGGAGTGGAATCAGATGCACTTGCATACATTATAATTCATTTACTATTTTGTAGGTTAATGGGATGAACTGTTTTGCATTCTAATTAACTCTGTCTTTAAATTAAAACATATTTTTGTTCATGTATTAAATAAAAAAACAATAAACAGCATGAATAAAAATCTATTGATAAAAAAATCTAGTTAAAGCTTGGCACTTCATGAATAAGCTAATCTCAGTCACCTTGCATTTCTTTCTTCTATCTTTTCTCTTCTTCTCTCTTCTACTATTTTTTTCATTTCTTTTTCTTGCATTCTGTAAAGATTCAAGATTGTTCATTTTATGTAAATTCCCTGTCTAGTGTTTTGAGAACTGTTTTTCCACTCTTGAATATTTTGAAGTATTTCCTTGTGTTTTTATTCAATATTTTGATCATAATGAACTATCTAAGCTAACTTGCCAAGTGTGTGGAAATCCATCACCTGCGAAATAACCTGGTACCTGAAGTATTTGATCAAAATGCATGTCATACGAAGTCAAATAAAATGCCTTCAAGTAGTTCCAGCACATTTATCTCACAATTTAAAAGTAGTACTGCCATTTCAAGCACCGGATGAATTATAGAAACATCAGACGTATGACATAACAACATAATCTTACTGTTGTTTTATATTGGTCAACTCTTTCCCAGATTGCCTTCTCATTTTCTCCCTCTCTAACTGCTCTCGCTTCTCTTGCTCTTCACGTTCTACTCGTTTCTGCTTAATTTTTTCCTTAAGCCTGAAATAAGTGATTACAAACAAAAATTAGGGAAAATATATGTTTTAAAACCATGGTAATTATGAACAATATGTAATTAAATAAAAAGAAAGCTAAAAAAGAAAACAAATGGAATTAAAGAACCCAGTTTCCTATAAAAACTTCTTAGGTCAACTGATAGTCTGAGCTATCTGTTAACATTGAATTCATGAAAATTGAACCTGAGCCAGCAAACTTAAATTTGAGTAACTGGTCTCCATTTCTGCCTCGGCAAGTTGATACTTAAACCTCAATGCCCTGAGACACTATCAAGATCCAAGTAACCTGCCTTTCCAATTGCGCCTTCTTTTCCTCCTCTGTCAGAGGCCTTATTTCTTCAGTGGACTCCGAAAAGCTTGCATGTCCAGTTCTGGCAGCATGCATCTCTGCCTCCATTGTGCTGCGCAAAGTTTTGCCACACCTTTACATAAGATTATAGTTTAAAAGTTAGAAAACAAAGCCATATGTAGAAGTACAAACATATAAAAACAGAGACTACTGTACCCTAATCTGTTTCATCACTATCTACAGAGGGATTAGTTTAAGTTTAATAATAAATATGTGTATGTTAGTTGTTCAAAAATTAAGACATTATACAATCATAATGATGCATGTTTTTAGTGTTTTCTTACAAACCAGTAGTTTATTTCAGACTTCTCTTTCTAGCTCTTAATCATTCATTATAAATAGTGCACTCCCCAGAATGTGCCATCTTGGATCATGGAAGTGAATTTCCAAAGTACAAGTATCACTTTATATATCAATTTTTATGTATAATGACAAGAAATAACACTTCAAAAACTGTGAGAGAGTTTTGTTTTTCAAAATTGATTTAACAAAAATTGGTTGTATCTTGAAGGGTTTTCAGTAATATCATTTTGGTAACAAATGGATTTAAAACAAAGAATCTAATAAGTTTTAACTTACCAACACAAGAAAAAATAAATAAAAGATATAATCTGATCAACTAACCATGACTTCTAATTCAAATTTTGTAAACCAAGACTGCTTTCACTTACTCATCACATTTCAGTGACTTGGCTATTGGTGTTTCAGCTGATTCTCCTTCTGGACAACTCTCAGTATTTGCATGTGCCTCTCTTGGAGTATCTTTTAATAAGAATGATTATAACAATATAACATTAAAGATAGTTTCCAATTAAAAGATACATAAGGCCCCATGTAAGTAATGTTGAGGTGTGAAACTTTGACTTTCATCCTCCTTTATAAACTGAAAATACAAATACCACAGTAAAAGAACCAAATACACACTGTTCCACAATCTTAAAGAAATACATATGCAGACATTTTACTAAAGAAAAAGTTCTGTAGGGGAAGAAGTTTTTGAGAAAATGTCAGCAATTTTCAATTCAACACTCAGGTAAGCCATACCCTAGAAAAGCATATCCACATCTTTTACTACACATTAAAATCTATTTTTGAGCATATGCTTTGAAGTCAGTTAGTAAGTCATTGCAAAAAAAAAAAAAGAATATTAAAAAATACGTAAAGAGAGAAATTACTTTTATCATAAAAAAATAATAGTAATCCAACCATACTAATTATAATTTTTTAAAACATAAAACCTCCAAATTAATCTCAATTTGAAATAAAAAATGATGGCCATGGCAATTTGAAGTTAATTAAAGCATTTGTGATGCATGTACATAAAATGTAAACATTTATGCTGACCATACAAGACAAAAACATGGTTCATAAGTACCCTGAGTTGTTTCTGTCTCCATAGCTGTGTCTCCTGAGCCTGCCTTGTCCTCTCCAGACTTGCCACCTAATAATTGTCCTGCTGGAGCTTCATATGGCTCATCAATATCTGGGTCCTCAGAATGAGCAAACAACCTAATAACAAAATAGCTTTACAATGAAACAAAAATAAATGTTTATAATTGTTCAGGAATTACTATAATTACATTTTAGGCCAAAAAATTCCTAACAGTATATGAAATTATACATTAGCACTTAAAGAAAAAAAAAGCTCATAAGAGGAGAACTACTCCTTTTTGATGAAACTTATAAACCTGTACTAGTACCTACAAATCAACTGCTTTTAACTTATATTGCACTTTAGTACACTTACCAATCCATGGCTATCTGCACTCCTTGAAAATTGGTTTTAGCTAGGGCCTTCTCCCTGTTAAAATGAAAAAAAAAATGAATAGGCCAGAATAAACTGATACTGATATGCTGGTCTTATGAAGATTTCAGAATATAAAGCATCTTCTAGGGATGTGATTAGGATAGAATAAATCCCACTCAAAGATGGGAATCTCTTGGATGTACAGTGTATGAATCCCTGAGTCAATTAATGATTCAACTGCATTTTTCTTCACACAAGACACTATATCAGTACTTACTAGTAGTATTTCCTTTTTCTGAAGTCAAAAGAAACAAAAACTCTTTCACTGCAAATTAAAGGCCACAATTTGCGTCAGAGAACATGCAGTTTTTGCCTCAATAGTTTGTAACACAGGGTGGAATGAGGCCTTGCCTGTGGTATGTACATGTACTTAGCATGCATTGCTGGAAACTGTATATGATTGCTCTGTACTAATGCAGTATGACCTACATGCAAGTTTTGGACTTCCTGAACCATTTTTCTTGAATTTACTTGTGTGGTGACTTTGATCAGTGTCTCTGCTACCTTATTCAAATCCATTTGTTTTGCAATTTATACTGAGTTTCAATGTTCACATTTGAAATGATCTCAACTCCTATTTTATTTGAATGGGCTTGAAGTTTCTTGTACAAACAGTACATTTGCAAAATAAATTATCTTAACAGCAGAAACATTGATGGAAGTCACAACATAACTGCATTTTTCTTTAGAAATAAGAACTGAAAGTCAAAGACGTGTACACTAATTTTTACTTTTTTTTTTTTTTTTTTGAGGGGGGGGGGGCATGCTTGTACTGCCTAAGTACTGATTGTTCTTCCATTGTAATAAGACACAGCGTGATACAACATCACGGACGCTCAACAAGGACGCTCAACTTCGCAACTTTCGAATATGTCTTTTATTTGTTCTGGCGGAGCCGAAATCTACATGTACTGCTCGAAATAAATTTAATCATGAATGAACACAGAGGAAACTTACGCTCTGTCTTTAGAAAAACCCATCTCCATAAGGGTATTCACGTCAGTCGACATCTCTAGTTTTAAACTAAATGGACATAAAATATAATATAATAAGATCAACTACAAAAGTTTTGATGAACAACACCAACTTCCGGTAAATACGCAGAATTACTTACGAGTTCAAGCTGTAGTTTCGAAGTTGTGTAAACCGAAACCAAAAGCGCACTTTACAGAAAAAAGACAACTATGAGACCTAGATTTCAAGCTTCGTTGCAAAGCAAAAAGTGTAAATCTTTAACAGTTGATTAAATTTATACTTTCAACGTTTGAAAATACCCATGCAATGTAACTAAGTCTACACAAGAAAATTTATAAAGGAAAGTCTGGTTTTCATGTAGGCCCTACAGTAACCTCGAAACCCAAACCTTCGATTCCCGGCCTTTAGCATGAACTGTTCAGGCATGACTGTGCAATCATTTAAAACTAATTTGTTTTATAAATCCAAGTTAAGTTCTATCCATGTAGAAGATTTTTAATGGCTATTAAATATGATCCAATTTTCCATAAAGAAAAAAGAGAAAAGCGGTTGAAGCCCCAGCTACCCATGTAACAAAAAGACTCCATTAAAGTTATTGAAAGTGCCATTACATATTTACGCAATCTCTAAAGTGACTCATGTTTATGTAATAAACACAGAGCTAATCAGCGAGATGTATGTGATATTCACGAAAACGTGCTGTGTATCTAACCATGTTTAACTTATATCACGGTTCTTCAACCTGACTTTTACGCCCATCAAACCATTAACTATCTTCTCGTCATTCGTCATGTCATTCAGTGATTCGTTAGCAGGAAATTTTAAAAAAGAAAATAAGAGTTGACGGATTAACTCCATATAAATTATGACGCCTACATTGTATAAAGCATGCACTTGCCTTATACTGTACATGTAGCTAGGCCTACATGTAGGCTACATGTAGCCTACCCCGTTCACACTGCCATAACGAGCTTCACACGCTACTTTTTCCACACTATGTGGCAAAAATGTTACTAAGACTTTACATTGTGCTACTTTACATCGATGCTTGCATTGATTTCTGAAAATTTGTTATTGATCCGTATTTTGAGGCCTATTGAATACCGACTGGTTTGCGTGTGCACGACCAGAGAGCTTCATTTTCTTTTAATTCTAAAACCTTTCAAGTTTTTCAAGTTTTTAAAAAGGCTAAATCATCTTTAACATCCACAATGCAATGGCCCTAGCATACACCAAAAATCTCTTTGTTTTATGCGCATGCATCGCACTTTTGGATATTCAAAAGATTGATGAGTCGCATCTCTAAACCTCGCCCTATGGCCAAGATAAGATTAGTTTTGTTACCGGTGCAATTACATAACGGCTCGTGCAAGCAAACTAGTATAAATATAAGCAGGCGTATATAAGTGTGTTCTCGCGCCTCCCAACATTAGAGTTCTAGGAGATATACCGATAGACGTAGAGAAAGTGCATGTGAGTGGAATTGTAGACAGCCGAAGCAGTCGTTCTGAATTGTATATTTAAATAATCAAGGATCATTAAACCCCACCAAGGTTGTCGCAACAATTGACTTATTTTATCTTTGACGGTTGCCTGGTATAGGAAGAGAAAATAAGGTTTGAAGCAGATTCTTCCTCTGGAAACTAGATAACTGTGTCCTTATCATACCGTGAAGTGATAACTCGGCTAGCTCAACAGTATGCTATATTTAGTAATACCTGTGTGTATTTTACGTTTAACAACGTACCAGATGTTAGGCATGCAAACGAGGCATTCGACAACGATGGGAAACGTGACTGTTCTAGCTGGCTGTGATATCACCGTTTCAGAAAAGGGTTTTAATGACATTTTTTTGTCAGTTGGGCTGAATATTCGCGATCCGTTTCTATCTGACCAAAGCCTTTTTGATCCTGACTGCCTGAGTAGTTACCGATCACTGCTTTCTCAAACGAGAAGTCGTCACTCTATAATAATGTTGGGGGTCAATAAAACCGGCTGCTCTCATTTGGAGAGGGTCGGGCGTATCAAGAGTTTTGCCTCTTTTAGACAAACTTTCGATGAACAGTTGGCAGACGGTAGAGACATTGTTGCAGATATTATTAAGAAGAGCTCTGTTGATTCAAACGAGACGCAAGGTATTGAGAACATCGGTGGTGAAAGTAAACCTGTACATGTGTGTATCGGGGTGTTAAATAAGGAAATTAATCTAGAAGTTGATACTCCCTCGGAAGATGACTTTATCTTTTTGTCGGATAAAATGCAAACATTCCACTGTCTGCTAAAGGGAAATAGTAGCAGGGGGATGCGCTTTAATGCCGAGGACGCGTGGTTCGAATCAGAAACTTACGCTGGAGATTGCGGATTGCTTGCCCTTGACCCCCAAAAAGTTCATATCACTCCTCTCATCAACGTAGTAGAGGAGGACTGCTCAACCAATAACGAGAAATTTAACCACTATCGAAACATGCGTTACCTTTGTATTGCGCGAAAAGCAATATATGGGATACAGCATACAACAATATGCCCATTATTTCAAGCTAACACCAATCTGGCAAATTCTACCAATAACCTTACCGCAATGACTATGCAAGTCTGTCCAGAAGCTCTAGGACCCAATGCAGCGTTTGTATCCACAATAACTGTCACCGACTCTATTGGCAAATGCTTTCGGCAGACAAGTGGTCGTACCATTGCCGAAATTAATACTCAAATTAATTACCAGACAATATACTTCCATTTCGTGATTGTTCTCAGTCCTCTCTCCTTACTTGCGAATTCCATTCTCTTAGCAGTTCTTCTGTGTAACAGAAACAAAGGTACAAGAATTCGGAAAACAGCAACGCTTCTTCCCATCTTTCTTGTCATTGCTAACTGTTTGCACTTGGTGGTAGCATTTTCTGAAAGCTTGGCCCAACTGATGAAGTTGGTTCGACCAGAGCACACTCCGTGGTGGGTGTGTAGGCTATCAACCGTATTTGAATTTTTTTCGCAAGACATGTGTGCCTCACTGGTGTGTTTAATAACTTTTGACAGATTCCTTGCAGTTTGTTTTCCCCTCAAGAGGAATTTTGCATACATCAGGACTTCTCTAATGAAATCAGTAAGTACCTTTATAAGTCGGCACCTATATGAGATTTGTTGTATAATTCCGTCAAATTAATCAAAGAAATAGGTATTATTTATTCCTCTTAGTAGCGAATTTGTATAAAATGAGTTATAAGTAATTCATTGTTCCGAAGAGCGTGTAAGACAAAAATTGAAGCATATACAAAGTACAGTTTTGATACATATTTCCATAGCATAACTAGAAAGAAACAGTCTCGTTTGAGGAACTGATAAAAACAACAAGTATCAACTATTTTATATATCTTCAGAGACAAGTTTTAAGGCGATAGAAAAAAACTTGCACATTTAATGCTTGGTTACAAGCTTGTCCCACAAATTACTGATAAAATATAACATAATATAAAATATATGGAAACGTAAGAAGATCTTGAAGAGGAAGATTGAAACCAGCAATTCACCCAGATTCGATTTCAGATACGAATGTGAATACTGAGCATTATCATCATCTAGACATTACTTAATAACTAAGTACAACATTTTTGAGAAAATTACTATTGGTAAACCTATTTTCTAGTTCTTATCAAATTTCTATGTCTTACTGTTACGAGGAGTGAACTGTTCCAGTCTCATTCTCCACTTCGAGAATGACTAAAAAATCAGACACTTTTTTCAATGAGACCTTTTGAGTACATTTTTATAAACCTTGCATACACAGCTGTATGTGACCTTGCACATGTCAATTGGCTTGCAAAGGTTAGCTGTCATACACATACACTGTCCCGCTTTTTCTGAAGTGGAACACCTTTATGTTGCCTTTGTTATTTGGCCAAAATTCTCTAAATTAGTTGTGTGTCATACCAATATATTAATCTTAAAGGTATCTGCATGTTTGGAACAGTCCCAAAGTTATACTTTTATCTTGACATATCCTGCAAAGTTAACTTAATACAGACCTTAAAAAGAAAATAGCCGGTGTCGATATTTCCTTCCCAAATGGCGTTGTAAACGTCATAGATAACATTTAGGAAATTAAATCATTTAGTCAGTAACGGTTTAAAACATCGAATTCAAGTTCAGTGACGGGTAGAGCAACGATTCGTGACCTGGAGAAAATAACTTTTTTCATAGAAAATATTTGATGGCTGAAAAATCCCGGATAGGATTCCATTAATAAGGCCAACTGTAACTATGTTTTTATACTATTTTCTTGTTTTCAGCTTGTCCTAGTATCCTTTGTTTTGAGTTTCACCAGCGGGATTCTGCACGGTAGAGGGGATCTCTTCACATATAGAGATTACAACAAAAATGATGGATGTATACTCACACTGGAAGACCAAAACCAGGCCTTTATTGAAATAGGTATTCACTTCGCCATCCGTATGGCTGGATACGTTGTAATGTTTTTCGTCATTACTTTAATGAATGCAAAGATAGCATATGTTATGTGCACCCAAGCAAAAAAACGAAAGCAAATAGCATCAGGGAGTACTGATGTAGATAAGGGAAGTTTGATAGGAACTTTCTGTCTTGTGGTTTGTTCCATTTGTTTTTTAATTCTATGTATGCCGTATACTGTTAGTATGGTGCTTTTGATATTGCCATCTAACGGAAATGTTTTAATATCATATTACCCCATGCTCCTTATCGGAAAATGTGCTTTTCTGATAAACAATGGTCTTAATCTGTTTATTTTTCTCGTCAGCGGTGAGGCTTTCCGTGTAGCGTTCAAATCTTTATTTCTTAAAGCGCTTCAGTCAGTTACTTCGGTTTTCAATGCCTCAACAACAGATGCGCCCGCGAGAGAAATATCCTAGAAATATTATTTAGGCACTTGTTCATGAATTCTAGTTGATTGGTTAATTGATCAGTATTTGAGTGCAACACACACTGATGTGCCTAATACAATGTAATTCGGATGTTGGATAAAACAGCCGCATAAAATGAGACTAATGCCTATATTTACCCAATACCTAAGCCACCGATTCCAAAATTTCCACCAGACTTCTAGTTATGTGTCTTTGGCTTTGACTGACCCAACTTTGGTTTTGGGAGATCTATGTGTTTTTTCAAAGTATAAGTGATAGCGTGGTCTTATTTTAGTTGGATATGGTGAATCTTAATTGGCGTGACGGCAGACATTGGGTATACTTTGTTGTATTTGACAGGAGTTAGAAGACCTGTTGCCTTCAGTATTCTGGGTTTTCTTAGTCTGCCTTCAGTGGTTGATTGTTGGAAAGGATCTGACTCCAAACCTCAGGTATAAGCTACATCAGTATCTGTAATTTTTATTCCTGTGAAGGGTGGTTTGAATGAAACCAATGTATTTGAGAACAGTAACTCTAAAATTTTGTTTTCGGTAACTTTGTAATGACTTACAATGTAAAATTTTATATATTTAGTATCTTATTGGATAATACTCAGATTCCTAAATGTTCAATTCAGACGTACAGTCGGTTCGCATTGTAAAAGATGTCTGACAATGGATGACAATTGTATAAAAATGAAATGTGATGGAGTGGACAAAACACAGAGAAAAACAAACCTGTACATAGTTATAAAAGAAAATACGCGAGGCATGTTAAGTGGAAGTGTTAAAACAAAAGTTTTGTAAAAAAAGGATGTAAGAAGATACCTTGTATGAAATAGACAGTAGGTTTTAATATGTGTACAAGACGTGAAAATTACTTGTTATATTGGAGTTTCAATGAAAGCATGCGTTAAACGTTATAGAAGGAAAGTAAGAAATTATGATGGAAAATTTTATGTTGTTCTTAATTATAATTTGACCTGTGATCAGGCCTACCCAACTACCAGACTCGGCACATAAGGATCCTGAATTAACTAGTATATCGGACCACACTACCCGTTTTCAAGGTGTGTGTCAGATCGCATTTCGGAGTATCAGTCAGAACACCGACAGGATGAGCCCACGGTCGTCCTACAAAATGATACTCCGAAATGCGATCTGACACACACCATGAAAACGGATTGTGTAGTCCGACATACTGGTTAATTCAGGATCCTTATGTGCCGAGTCTGGAAGTTGGGTAGGCCTGATCACAGGTCAAATTATATTTAAGAACAACATAATTAACAAAATCTAGTAAATGTGGTTTTAAAGTATGCGATGTTGAACATTTATTGTAATGTTATGTATAATTATGGTATTATATATTTATCGACTTCAGAAAATAAACTTTATCAATGATTAGATGGTACATATATTAACGTAGGTTTATTTCATTCAATCTTGAATATGTCAATATATATTACATATTGTTTTACTATGTGTTTTCAATTTTGAAACAAAACGTACACATGTATTATCAAGTGAAAGAAAAGGGTGTATGAAACAATTGGTATTGATGTAATTTCATTATATTTGCACGACCAAATATTAATGAAACTTTTGGAAATAAATATTATAAACACTTAATCAACGTGCCTCTTCCTTAATTGGCAAGTTATTCAGGATGGGTCGGTGTTAAAGCCTGGCGTCCGTTTTTTTTTTCTTTTCATGATAGACAAGTATTTTAGTATTTAGAGGATCTGTGCGTACTACAAAATACTTAAATGACAATTAAAAAAAACGGTTGAATTAATGCGTTCATTAGATATGGACCGATTTTCTGTAAAAGAAAGAGCGAAAAGCGATCATAAAAACGACAGAAGAAACGGTGCGATAGATGCCGCAGCTAACAGAGACTCCATTAGAATAATTGATAACCCCTTTACATAAAAGGAATTTACGTCATCTCTGAAATGACTATAAATGTTTATGTAATAAAGACACCACTAATCAGCAAAGTATGTGTGATAATCACGAAAACGTGTTGTGTATCTGATTTATATAACGGGTGGTCAACTTGAGTTTTACACCCATCAAACCATAAATACATAAATACAAAAACATGAGTTATGGTAAAGAAATACAATAGTAAATGCAACTCTGCATCGCTGCATTGCATAACGTAAAAAGATTAGCCACTCACGCCAATCCAGCTCCTTTAGCCATTAAGTATGCGTTTCTATTTTCAAAAAAGTTTACAGAAAACGACACTGAAGGGTCAGCATTTTCGCAATTGCAACTCACCTTGAATTAGATATCAACCAATACAAAACCAACGTTATTTGAAGATAATTTACAAAAACAAAGTCGCAGATAGTTGTAAAGAAATAACTCCAGAGAGGAAATATTACGGGGAAGTATAGGATGCTGCTTTGGGCAGTATATGGGCTGGTAGAGCCATTAAGTGGAGTAGTGGGCAACGTTTTAAACAAAGTACAGAAAATCTTTTTTTTTTCGTTGGAGTACAATATAGGCAACCAGTCTTCTCTCCTGCGACATTGTACAATTAAGCCCCTTCTGCTCGGCATGCACTTCTTACAAAAAAGGGTGCAGAAGATAACAAAACATTAACATTTAAATCAAGAACATCAACTGAATTCAATTTACGTCCTTCACTTGTAAGAGCTTTAACACAGTGGTATTAATGAGAAAGAAACGGCAAGAAGGTAACGAAATATACTGCAATTCGTCTTATTATTAATTTTTTTGTGTCGCAGTGCCGAGTCATGCATTAATTATTCCATGCTAAAATACACCATTTACTTAGGAGACGAGTAAAAACATGCCATTCTCTCTCTGCGTCGAACTTAAAAATAACAGTACCAAATTTAAAAACTATCAGATCTTCAAAGTCTTATACATATGTTTGGGCACTGGATACTTGTTGAAACTAGTTTGTTTGAATGAATGCAAATGTATTTTTGAACATCCTCAGAGTACCAAATGTTTTATTTCATCTTAACGCTTTTAATTAAAAATTTTATTCATCATTTAGTGGATTTAACAATTTACATTACTGGAACTATTTTGGTTGCTAAGAAACATTATTTTGGAAAAAGGATTTGTCGCTAAACTGGTTTCCATCTGTGCGCGGTGTTGTGGACGGGAGAACGCATTCATGCTATGCGTGCGTGTATACTAGATGCATCTCGTCTGAGTCGTGATATGTGCTCTAAAGACCATTTAAATAATTTGTTACCCAGCAAGATATAACAATCTTGGGTAATTAAACGGCCCTGTGCGTGTTTGATGACAGCGTATTGGTACGTAATGATACGCAATGACTCGTGCGGTGCGTGGCGTGGCGCATCTTTCATTACGTCGATGTTGGGAGTCTCAGAAACGTAAGCACTCCTATCATCCTAGATCTATGTAATCATAAAATCAAGTATTTCTTAAATATCTAGTTCTTCAAGCATTTTATTTCCATAGATCGTTTTTCAGAACCTTAACGAATATACATATATATATAGTTACAATTTATTTCTACTTTTATTTTGGAAAAGCCATTTGGTAAGTACTTGGTTCCCTTGTATTTTTCTTTTTTAAATTTTGAAGTTCTTGCAATAGTTACCGTTGGTCAAAGTACAAATTCATACTATTTGATATTCAAAGCAAACAATAACATTATTGGCGTCATTATCAACATTTCCCTTCTGAGTTTGAAAAATAAAACTTGTTCCATACCATCCATCCTTTACCTTAAACCTTTTACTGTTAAATGTAAACATGTTCCAAAAGCTCACACATACAAAATAATAACATCTAGAAAAGCACTCAATGAATGCAGACCTCTAGCAAGAGAATTTATTAATCAACTGAATGAAGGATCATCACCAAGATCTAATTGATTCAAAGAGAGCCCCTCATACCTATCCTGAATATTTTATAAAAATCCGTCCATAACATTTTGCATAATGTTGCTAACAGACAGACAAACATAAAGACAAGTATTATCAAAAACATAACCTCCTTGGGAGGGCTGATAAATAAAATAAGCAAAAATATTCATTTTTGTAAATGTGAAATATCTGAAATAAAAATTCACTTCTTCATTTTATAGGAATGCTTATCACAATATACTCAATATACTTTTACTCAGTTGTTCGATTATTAGAAATAATAAGAATGTTTATGATGTGGTTTTTTACAAATCTGTCAGCAAACTGCCTGTTTCCATTCCATGATTCCTTCATTTTTTCTACCCCCATCAAGGGAAGTAAGCACTCTTGCTAGGTGATTTATTTTCTCACGATTCTGATAAAGATACACCTGAGTGTCCCACAGCATTCTACAAAGAATGGTGTCCTCAGTGGCATCCAAAGAAATATCATCTGACAACTGAGGGCTGAAGCGAAAGAATGGGATGTTGACCATGGCACACCAGGCTCGACAGCGATCTACTACACGGCCCTCTGCTTGTGTGGCCTGAAAGATGTTACGTAGTTTTTATGTAGTACAGGTAAATGTATATTTTGAATTAAAATTACCCCATTCCTAAACACTATCATCAAATTTTTCAATTCCTGAAATAAAGATGGCCTTGCATCTTATAATTGTACAGTTTATCTATTTGCTTCCATCAAACCTCTAATTCAATGTTGTGTTCACACTGGCATGCACTTTTTTTTAGACAAATAAGTGGTTTTTGTCATAATTCAATAAATCATGCATCATGTATAATTTAAAATGTTCATGTCTTTTATCTTCAATAAATCACCTTTGTCATATGCCAGTGTAAAATGTGCACACAATCACTTGTGATCTTATTAGAATTCATACTGCTCTTTGCAAAACAGGTAAGTTACATAAATAATTTTCTATCCTATTCATGTTTTCTGTATGCAATAAACAAGTCAACCAACAATGCAGTTAATACCTGGGGCACAAATGACTTAAAAGTTTTACAATTCACTTACTGTAACATAAACATGTTTTTTTTTAACAATATTTTTTCTGCCTCTCTTACCTGATCTATCAGCAAATTAGTCAATGCCTGAGCTCCAAACCCTAACTTGACAAGATCTATTGGTCCCCCTGGTCTGAAAACATCACAGTTTGACACAGGAGTCACTGGGATGCGCCCAGTGCCTAAAGAGACCACAAGACCTAAGGGGCGCATTTTACTTTCCTGATTCTAAAATGAAAAACAAATATAATTGCAGTGTACAAATTTAATAGTTTATTCAAGATTACGTCCTCTGTTATCTAAAATCTGAAGCTTTACTTGTAATGATGAAGAATATTGTATGTCCCCCATACCAAAACAAACAAGATAATAATCAATTACAGTGTTGATTAATGTCATTATTTTGCACAGACTTTGCCACAAATAATTAGTGAAAACCATTCTCAAGGAAATATCGATACCCTAATTCTCATATTGTAAAGTAAATAATAACTTTGAATGTTGATATAATATAATAAATCAATATTCTTTAGCAACCTGCATAAGACAAGTCAAAATTTTAAATCATGACACTAATATCTGCATCAGCCATTCTTAAGCGAAAAAAAAAATGATAGGAATTATTTAGTTTATTTGTGATGTACATGTCTGCCATTAACATCATGTTATTTCTGACTTACTAAAAATTTAAGTGCCATATTGTACTCCCAGATCTCAGTCAGTAAATCAAGGGTTGGGTTGTTGGCAATAAGTCCCCCATCCAAAAATCTTCCCATGGCACGGAAGTAGGTAGGTGCTGCCCCTGTGCACCTGGCTGCTCTCCATACTGGCTGTTCTATAAAAATTGTAATAAGGACACCCTTCTACAAATTTGTTTTAGTTTTCTTTGTGGCTTCTAAGTATCTATAATCAATTAATTCTCTATGGTACTCTATATTTAAAATGGGGATCTCTGTTCAACTTCATGTCAAATATCATTTTGTCAAAACTCAGGCAATGCAATTAATAAAAATAAAAATTAAATAAATGATGCATCTTTTTTTGGGTTGTTCTTCTTTTTCCATTTCATTAATACCATTTTTATAACATGTGCCAGTACCTTAACAAGAAAATAATGTACTGTCTACATATTCCACTGCAAAGTAAAATACCTAGGTCATGCTGGCATAATATTGGGCGCCATTTAAAAGACTAAAACATTTTCAACAATATACATTAATGATCATTTTTTCTTTATCAATTTGTTCAGTGAATCAACCTGGAGAGTGGAAATAGATATATAATGAAAAAAGTATTAATGTTGCCAAGATGGAGTAAACTACAAAAAAACATAAGTAGCAGAAGTAGGAGAAGAAATAGCAAAATAAGCAGTGTTCCTACCATGAGGGCCTTTGACGGGCTCAAAATTGTTAGTGTCCACAGTTGGTTTGGATGTGGAAGGGGACTGGGCAGCTTTCCGTGGGGACACATAATTCCTAAACAGATGCAATTCTGCTGGATGACGATCAGCCAAAACACCTGTGACCATAACTCTACAGGGAAGAAATAAAGAGAAAAATATGTGCATTAAAAATTTTAAAATGCATTGGCAGGCTAACAGATTATTGTTACAAAAACAAGAAAACTGAAAAAAACCATAGAGAAAATTTTGTCAAAAATTTCATTTACTTTTTTTAATGAAATGGGCCTTTAAATACACATTTTGGATGATGGTGATGGACCATAGGCATCCATATCATATTGATATAAATCTTTAATACAAGAGATATTATTTAACATGATAAACATTTGAAAAACAAATTCAATGCAGTTTCACAACTAGAGCTCACAGAACAAGACTGAGTACTAACTTGGGTTCAGTTACATCAGTCATTTTTGTGTTTTCTCCAAATTCTTGCTTCAGAAAGCTCTCAAATTTTTCTGAATTGTACGGCCTTCCTCCAACAAATACTTGACTCTTAAGTCGGAAGTACAGTCCCATTGTATACCTCAGGGTTTTGCCTGGAAAAAAAACAATGTATAAGTATGATCTTATGAAAACACCTCGACTTTCACAGTATATACTATATAACATAAACAACTGCTTTTATGTGGTTCACCTGAAAAACATTTAAAAGTGATGATTATGGAGGTGAGTCTCAAACAAACTGTCACTCAGGCTGAATGATAAATGACAAAAATCTGATAATACAATATGATACAAATAATTACATGAATAGCTATTCATCTCCTACCATGCAAAATAGCCAAGGCCAGTATTCCCCCTGTGCTTGTCCCAGCAAACCAGTCAAACATCTCACGTATGGGTTTTCCTGCAGCCTGCTCAATGGCAAGCAGTATTTGTATAAGGACCAGGCCACGGATCCCTCCACCATCAAGGCTCAGTACCTAAAGATAAAAGTGGGACCATGCTTAGACCAATCTTAAAACTTAGGCACAACAAATTCAAGGTGAAGTAAATTACTGGATTTATCAAGGTGAACAAGGCAATGGGATTTTTCAACTTTTAACTAGAGATAAATGTTTTAGTTGAAAGGGGAAATTTAAATAATTCATGATAAAAAATTCAAGCAAGATTATTTCAGTATCTAAATCATATTCATTAATTATTTTCATCACCTGGTCTACACATTTCAAGAGAAGGCAACTGGCATAACAATATTTTATGAGTGGTCAGAGAACTTAATACATAATTATAGTTACAACCATTATGGTGTCCTCTAGATTTTTGTCCAAGAAGTTTTATGGGTGAGACAAAATTAAGGGATTGGTCAGAATATATCAACAATGGGATGGTTTGCCTCATCACTATCCAACCTGTTACTGTAGGCTTGAAGATATAAACTAAACTGAGCATACCCTGAGTCCAGCTTTCTGTTTTAGATCAATGCTGGTATGCCAGGCATTAAAGGAAGCAGTTCCTTCCAATGCATCTCTTAACATCTCTTCATGTACTGAAATTCAAAATCAATTATATAAGTATCCATGATTTTTTGACCCATATCAAATTTACTGCACATGAAGTTGATGCAAAATTCATATAAAGATAAATACAATAAAAATTAAAATTATAAACATGGAGGCATTGTTCATATATGTATGATTTCCCCTGACAAAAGCAATCAACTGTCATAATTAAGCAAGTGCAAGTAAATGTTCTTTTTTATCCTTATATTTATTGTCCCCTTACACACTTTCTTGGTACAAAACATCCTTACACATGACTGGTTCATCAGGAGGTGGTGCTGGCTTTCCATCTGGTTTTCCATCATTCTTTCCATCTGACTTACAACCATCAGAACACCCTTGCATTCCCTCCCTACAGCGCAGGGCACCAACCATATGAAGACAGTATACCAGGGCATCCCTGTAAGTGGGAAATGCAGGTTAATATCTGGAGTCCCAAGTACAAACAAAACCTTGGCTTTGAAAAGAAAAAGTTGCCAATTTCCTTACCCAAGAGCTCCAAGAGAGGCATTCAAGTCCCCAACTCACTCATCCCTCTCTTAAGTTTATTATATCTAAAAGGACACATAGATGGTAGAACCGAGAGGAATAGTGACTAGTGCTTAGTAAAGCTGTAAAAGTCCAGTGTTCACACTCCCCATACCCCATACATGCACAGGAGAAACGTTAATCATATCTGAGTTGTAACAACCATAAGAAATGTTATCTAGGTGACAACTTAACTTTTGCGTGAACTAGATAATTTGTATTCAGTGAAATTAAGAACAAAAAAGTACAGCAATTATATTTTAGCGCCAAAATATTAAAAGTTGTTTGAAGGCAGCTATTCATACAGACTGCCTATTTTAACTTTAAAAGACAAAATACTGAAGTTGCAAGTTACATAATTGATGCAGTTGTGATATGTTGAAAACCAATTGTTATAACCATCTTCATAATCAACAATCTTTCCTTGTTAATGTGTATCATATCTTACCTGCTTTTGCTTGAACTGTTAGCTGCAATGTGTCTAGGCATAACTCCAAATGAATTAGCAGCATTCACGTCACATCCAAACACAATGATGGATCTTACAACATCTACATCTTCTGTCTGAAACATCAGAATTTGTTGCACACCAAATTGCTGGCATTAAAGAAATACGCTCTTCCATGATAATACTTCTTGAGTTTCTCATCAAAGTATTTTCATAATAATCATATCATAATAAACAAAGTCCAGCAAAAATGTTTCACACAAAAAAAAAAAGACGAAGACAAAAGTGAACCATACTTGTAGTTGCAGTAAACTCAAATCAAAGGTAAATGAGATATGTTGAGGCACACAAGTGTAAACAGAATGTACAAGTTATGTGAAAAACTTTTTCCAATATTCTGCAGATATTGTATTGGCATTAAAGTTTGGACTAAGTTACTCTCTTGAGACAGGTATGTAGATGTACAATGATATATGATGAATTGATGATGATGCTTGAACTTTTGTTTTATCAAATGAATTTATCTTTCTTTTAAAAGAATATGAAGAAATATTTACCAGAAGGGCCAAGTGTAATAGTGTATTTCCTTGATAACCAATAGCATTAGCATCTGCCCCACGTGACAGCAATTCAACTATACACTCCACACGTTTTCTCTGTATCATAATATGCAAAGGTGTATCACCAGAAAAATTTCGAGCATTTGTATCGCACCCCAAGTCTGCAAGCAAGGCTACTGTCTGCAAAAGAAAATAAAACCTTTATAAGTTATAACATAAATTAAAGGTTATCAATCATGCTATAAAATATAAAGTTTTGTAATACCTTATAAGCATAGGACATTATTCTGGTATTCAATAAAACTTTTATACCTTTTGAAATGTGAAAGTAAACACACATATTCTGTTCTGTAGGTATGTTTTAATTGTAATCAGTGACTTGTAAAAATGTGTAATATATATCTCAACAACGACATCAAATGAACATTCTAATCAGATACATAAAAGTGACAGGGTATTTTCTTAAACACTAAACATTAACATTTGCAATATAGCATGCATAATACCTCTTTGGTTTTAGCCCAATGAATAGGAGCACCACCATACTTTGTGTCTTGCATAGTCAACTGGTTGGGACACCTCTTAACTAAAATTTCTATGCATCTTCGAAAGGAAATGAAAAAATATATAAATATATAAACAAATGACAAACAAATAAATAAACAAAATCACCTTCAATTATATGTTCAATCATGATATTTCTTTAAACATTTGAAAAAAAATTCTAAATATTAAGATTTAGTGTTTCAAAGTACAAAATGATTCTCAACAATTTTTTTACACTCATGTCACATACTTTCCTAATCTAAAAAAAAAGTTTTAATGATTTTGACTGATTGCATACTAACACTTGAACTCACTTTATATTTGAATTTTTTGTAGCACAATGTATTGGGAACCTGTAGGAATTAGTGAGCATAGGATCAGCACCATGAATCAAAAGCTCATCTAAACACTCATCTTTGTTGTGCAGTGCAGCAATATGTAATGGTGTTTCACCTTCCCCATTGCAAGTGTTCACAACTTTGGCAATATCACGAGTGGCAAGTATCTGGATTAAAAAAAAAAGACATTAGAAAATAATCTCAAAATAAAGCTCCAAAATATTTTTCTATGGAATTTCTGATCAGTTAAACATTGAGTACACATATATAAATCTAACTATAGGTTCATAGGTTCCATGCAGTCAGTATTACAAAATGATTTTTGAAAAGGACAGGTATAAAACTGTTAAACTTGACACATTAATACCTCTACATTCTCTGTACTAAAAATGAAATGTGTTTGAAAAAAACACCCTTACTTGGCAACTAATTGAAAAACTAGTTCACTATAAGTCTTACCCTAATAATATCCCTATTTGTTACAGCAGCATAGTGATAGGCTGTGTTCCCCAGTGCATCAATTAGGGATGTTTGAGCCTGACACACCACCAATTCTTTGACAAGATCTGTCATGTTGCTCTTCACTGCCAAATGGATTGGTGCCAAGCCAGTTTTAGGATCAGCGGAGTTTATGAAACTATTATATCAGATATACATTATAAATCCAAATTTATAAAAAATGTATTCATAAAAAGGATGGGAGATTACATCAATGATCTTATGACTGAATATTTTAGGTGTTTAGTTGAAAATGCAGGCCACTCCAGAAACAATGTGGGATCAGGGGTAGTCGCGTATAATGTACTACTGTGAATACCACTATATATTTGGGGCAATTTGGTGAATATGTACACTTGCAGCAAAAATGTACATGGATTGACCTGGACCCATTTTCAGCTAATCCATATCATGCCACAGTATATGTAACTTTATGGATTGGTAAATTAATATTATTCTAAATTGGTGAACTCACCACAGAACTGAAGGGTGACGGAGACTATTTTTCAGTCCAAGTTGAGTAGCAAGGTGAGCACAAGACCAAGTTGGGTTTTCTCTTAAGCAGTCTATCAGTTCTTGCAGTTGGTCTTTCTGAAGTACTGAGTGGCTACTCATTACCAGAGGATTTAATTTCTCTTGTAAATTGGTAAACTGAGACAATGCATCCATTTCTTTTTCAAGTCTGAAAAGGCTGAAGTGATACCAGTATATATAATGAGCTGCACAGTTTTTCAAAGAAATCCATGTCACCTAATTTTATTTTATGTATTTTATTGGCTTAATAAATTATTATTATTATTATTAAGACATTTTAACTTTAGCTTTCACCCTCTTTCTACTCATTTCCACTGACAACTGGACACAAGATAAGCATTAAAAATACAATATATGTAATGACATGTATGTACAAATTATTGGAACATTTTGTTGACAATAAGTGAAGTAAAAATAAACATGTCTAATACTTACCTGAAAGCTTTATCAGTTTGTTCTGGAAAACGCACGATTGCATCATAGGTTTTTCCCATCTTGTACAGGGCAAACAGATCCTCTTTACACACCAAACTAGAACTGAATTTTCAAAAAAAAAAAAAAAAAAAAATTCTTTTAGATTTCAGAATAGGTGAAACATTTGAAAATGGAAAATTTTCACATACATGTAGCAGTATATGTTGTGGGAATTTTTTTTTTCAGCATGAATCACAATGTGCATGCATATTTGGATTTATGAATGTGTGCATGTGCATATATTACGTGTATTTTTTTCAATTATCTATCACATAAGTGTGCTTGTATGTATGTATTTCTGTAATAACATATATACGTGTACTTTAACAGGAATTTGTAGTAGTAGTAGTAGTAGTAGTTTTCATTACCAATATCATACACACTCACTTGTCATAGTTCTTGGAATTGACTTCCTGTATTTTGTAGGGATTTGTGAATGACTGAACAGCATTTTGGGCTGCTCCATAAACCCGCTTCAGGAAGTCCATACTGAAATTTAAAAAAATTATCTATATATATGAAGCTGATTGAAAGGGTTGAATGAGTGGGTGATATCTTTTAATAAAGATAAAATCCACAACATTTTTGTCTAAGAAAACTCAGTACTAGTAAAGACATTTTATTACTGTGTGTGTGTGTGTGTGTGTGTGTGTGTGTGTGTGTGTGTGTGTGTGTGTGCAGGAATATATTGCTATTCTACTGCATGGTATGTATTATACACAACCCTGAACTTGAGAACATTGAAAGTAATGGACAGTATCAATATTCCTATGCTGGCATAATGTAGGGTAAGCTTTTGGTCTTTGGTCAAGTTGATTTTACCGACCAGTGAACTGTACCTCTAATCTCCAACACATACAATGCCACTGTAACTGAGGTATGGGTAAATCTCCTGTCTTTATATATATATATATATATACAGTATGCTGGGGTAGCGCTAACACTCGCCAATTTAGCCAAATGCTAAAATTGACTGACTTTGGCTAAACAAAATAGGGTTAATATGACTGATTTTAGTCAAATTTAAACCATTTGGACAAAAAAGCGATGAAAAGTAGTAATTTGGCTAAATGAAAAAAATTGCTAACGCCACCCCAGATATATGGATCTTCTAAGTAAACTATATTAATAATTTATTCTATGCATACATCAGTATATCTAATATTAAATAAACCTGACTGGCAACATGCCTTATTGCTGATAGTAGTGTGAAGCTGAAACCGAAGCCCTTCCTTAAATACAGTATCTATAAATTTAATGAAGGGTGGTACATGTAGCTTTTCTGGAAGTACTAGTACTAGTAGTACATGTATATGATCTAAATATTCAAGCATACAATTTCAAACAGTTTATGCATACGCACATATGTGGCTATCTGTATACCAATTTTAAGTCCCTAGCATTAATAGAGAAGGTATAGTCTGACAGTTTGACAATGGATCCACCCTATGGGTACATCAATACTTGTACAAACGATTTTATTTCAGGGCGGCCACCATTGAAATTTTAACACTAACTCTAAGAACTCGCAGCACAAAAATGATGATACCACGTGCATAACTACATATGAAATAGATCGGGTGTTAAAAAATCAACCTACCTCAAATTACAGTCAAATTCGACAGTTTCAATATTCGTCTCCCAAATGTATGACTTATCAATGACCCAATGGTAGATCTATGTTTATTTACAGATGTCGTGCTTCGAAAGAAAGGCCACATCAAAAGCCACAAGATAAACTCAAGCTACCAAAGGACATGTAACACAAAGAAAGGCTATAAATATATGTTGTTATATATATATGTAGTGTCCACATAATTATTATGTAGAGCTACGTTTGAGAGTGAATGAACAGAAACATTAAAACGTGCTCTTTAGCCTACTTGTTACACGACCTCTCAGCTGCAGTGCTGCAGTTCAGTCGCGAATTCTGAGAAATTTATTTCTCAAGATTACAATAGGGTATTTACATGATAAGCGTGTCCCTTTTAAATATAATGTTTTTCCGTCGGAATATGTTTTGATAAGCAAGTAAAAAAATCATTAAAATTTATTTTTGTTTCGTGTGACGCACCAAGTCTTTATTTTAGGTGAAACAAACATCCGGTAAGTGGTCCACACCATCTCTTGCTCCAACGTATGGTAGATTACAAGAAAATGGGGATTTTCGGTGTTTTTGGACGCAATGGCAGTAATTGGAGATTGAAAGCTTTAGCCATTTGGAATTTAATTGCCTTCTCATACTTTTGCACCCTAACATCGCTTACTACATACCTGGTTTTATTTGAAATGATCCCCTTTATCTTTGGAGAATTCGCTACTTCAGTTATGAAACATGACATTTTTACGTGTTTTATACTCCTACAAGTTGTAGGTAACGTTGTACTTGTGATCACAACCGATTCATCAATTCACAATCTACCTCCATTATGGAACAAACCAGAAATAAGGAATATATCTTCACGAAAAAGAAAAACTACTGATGAACAAAAGAAAAACTTAGTCAAAATTTCAAATCAGTCTGTGACCAGACGAAAAGATGCAGATAAGAATATGAACAGCAGCAGTGCAGGTACACCAGAAATGGATGCCAAAAGTCCTTTGCACAATGAAACGGAAGAAATAAATACAACAGTGTGTGATTCCTGCAATGCTTTAGCTCCAAAAAGAAGTCATCACTGTTTGTTGTGCAATGAATGCATCCTGAAACGTGACCATCATTGTTTCTTCATGTGCACTTGTATTGGCTTCTACAATCAAAAATATTTTATACTATGGTGTTTTTACATGTTCATTGGATCATTTTATTCCCTAGTCATCATCGCCATGTATTTAAAGAAATATTTTAATATCAGCTTTGGAATGTTTACTCTGTTAACTCTCTTGCCAAATACTCTCTATGGGTGGTGGTTTGAAAGTTCTGTAATTCCATACCAATTGTTAATAGTAGGAGTGTTTTATGCATGCTTGACTTGTGGGCTGGCAGCAGCAGGTTTCTTTTACTGGCAGCTTTACATTGTATTACAAGGACAGACTACATATGAAGCTTGGAAAGGAATACTAACATATAGCGACAGTGAAATGCTTTGCAATTTTAAGGATGTTTTTGGGCCTTTTTGGTATATTTCCATATTTTTGCCACTCCCCTTGCCACAAAAAGGATTAGGAGTATATTAAATTTACTACTCAGCAGCATCTACATTATTTACGTTTCATGTTATGGTAAATTAACTTTTGTTAATATCTGTAGTTATCTGACAGCTGTCCTATTGCCAAAAGGATTAGAAATATACTTTTTTGGGCTATGTTAATGAGATTTAATCTTGTAATATTTTGACCTTTTATCAGAGACATTTAATATCATTCTGCTTGCCACCAAAATGATTTGGAATATGCTAACTTTGTTTTTGTACAATGTTTTAGATGTTTTACAGTATTATAGTTTTGTTTATTAACATCTATCAAGCATGTGCCATTTTGATACTCTACCAGGGGCTCTTCTAGTTGTTACCATACACATCCAATTTTATAACAGAAGAGCCTTGGTAGAAGTACCATGTTGGTGCCTTTATACTTAAAACACTTTACTGCCAGTCAAAAGGATTAGAAATATTTATGTTTTAAGGCTGTATTAATGAGATAAAACGTAATATTTGATTTTTTGCAAAAGACTGTCCAAGGTAGATGATCCATACAGCCCTAGAGTTATGCTACCACATGCATTTAAAATTTTCACATTTATGTATTTTTGCCTGTCTTTCTAAGGTTAAAAAAACAACTTAAGTGAGCTATTTATAGCTGTTCCATAGTAACTGAATTTTTGCTGACTAGATGGATCCATAACATCACTCGTGAGATTCATTGATAAGGACTCTGTTCTGTTTGAAGTGTGTCTTCTAATTCTGGAGCAAAGATGACTTACTAGTATTGATTAATATGATATAGTTACTTGTTTATAAGATTAAAAAGTTTGAAAAGGGGGGTAAATATTTTAAGGATGCTTTGTATTTTTCACAACCCTGCCTAAGTGGTAAAAGAATCTCATATTGCAAAAGTATAATGGGGATCATCCACGAAAAGCCTACTAAGTGTCTGACATCAGTGCATAGCATCATGCTAGATTAGTTTCAAGTACGGGAATCCTTGTGAAGTAGGGTTAACTTTAAGTAGATGAGGATGAAACTCTACGCATCAGGAAGGTCATTTCAAGACTGTAACAAAAGTGATGCACAAAACATGGTGTTGTGCAGTTGACTCCATTTCAGCATTTCAGAAGAAAATAACCATAAAATATGTACAGGTGAATTCTGTCAGCTTTTATTTGTTGCAGCACTGCTTAGTTGTACATTATTTGTAACCCCTCTTTCCTCCAAATCCTGTGAAATCTTTATTGATTTTACATTTTTGTGCAATTATGTTCATTATTATGACAAACTGCAAAAATCATTATTTCTTCTGGCAAAAGACAGCATTTTGATTTGGTGAATGTTACCAGTACTTTTAATAAAGTTTGTTGGTATTTACTGAGAAATTACATTATGTTCCCTTTTTTCATAAAATTAATGCAGTAATAATTTGATGTCAGTGCTGTTGCTGCTTTTCATATTGAAGATATATGGCAATACTTACACATGAATTTCAAGAACAGCTGAACTAATCTTTGACAAATTAAAGAGTGATGAATGAATTTAAATAGCTTATTCTTGTTTATTTGACATAAAATTTTTTAACAAACTGACTTTATCAAAGTATACAAATCACTTTGAGTACCTGTGTTGGAACCGTTCAAAATAAACCTGTGAGATGACTTGAACTATATCATGCTTTGGCTCAAAGATTTATTTAACATATGTATATTTTAATGTATCCCATTCAACTTTAAAGGGTGATATGGCCATTTTCTAATTCAAGTTATGTCCTTGAGTATCATCATTAAACATAATTGAACTACTCAAAAATATTTGGCAATTTTTTCAGTAAAAGTGTTTTGCCAATGAAAATTTTGATCTTTTCTTTTAAGAAAAATTCAAATAATAATAATAATATTGTATCAATCTATCTATATAAACATGGGCTTTCCTTAGGAAGATTCAGGTTGCATAACTTTTTTTCACTCAATACACATAAACAATAAAAATGACAATTTGGATGGGTGTTTTTCACATGGAAATGCTGACTGGAATATTCCAGACAGACAAAGTTTAGACCAGTAGAAACACTGATATATATACATAAAAATGGTAATGATTAACTGAATGTGTGTATTGTGCCTTTTTATTATTCTATTTTCCAGACAATTGAAGGAAGAATTTTTCAGTCAGTGTCATGCCTAAAGTTAAAAGCAACTTAAAGCTTGCACAGTGCAGGAGAAGCACACAGAGCAATTTTCAAAGAGGCAATACCCCTTTACAAATTGTTAACCATGTCAAAAAAGAATTCGGTCTTAGTGCAAATAAGGATAAAGCTGCTGGAATGAAGAAATACATGAGAAATAAATTTGAGTTTTATGGGCTTCAGGCAACAGAAAGAAGAACTATAGAAAGACAGGTATTTATTTTTCAGATTGGAGTAATGTGTGTTATATATGCTAAAATTAGTGCAGTATGTGCATCAACTGTTTCTTGTTCACAAAAGTCTAAAAGCAGTTAGATTTTCAAAATAACCTTAAAATAAATAACCTGTGCTTTACATTTATTTAATTAACCATTTAAAGGATCTTTTAAGAATGTTTCATCCCATTATTATTTGTATCATAAAATATGTACTGGTACAGATGAGAGGTTTTATAGTGGTGATATTTCTAAAAAAAAAAAAGGTCTAGGAATGCGTCTTGAGCAATTTTTGTCCCCAACCCTGCCTCAATGACAAAGTTAAAGTATGATTTTTGTTATGAAGGTCATGAAAAATTACCCAAAACTGAATGCATCATGCCTTTGGGAGGTGATGAAGTTAGCTTGGTCACAGGATCGCAGGGAGATGCAATACTTTGCTGTAGAGTGTGCGATACACAACAAAAACATCCTCAGCACAGACAAAACAACATGTTTAGAGACTGTGGAAAACATAAAAAACTTTCTTGTCAGTGAAAAGAGTTGGTGGGACACCGTTGATAGCCTAAGTGGTGGTAGGCCATAATTTCACATTGCTAAATATAATTTACTTGAGAAATATTGATGGAAAAGTGAAATCTTACGAGCCAAGTTATTGTTCACTGAAAATATTTCTTAATATTCTATAAACCAGCCCCATTCAATTGCATCCATTTGGATAATAGACTTCATTGAAGGTAGATTTGGCAAATTATTGAATTTGTAATATCTTAGAGAAATTTTGGGATTTGAAAAAAAGGTCTTCACCTTCAAAACAGTTCATGTTATCTGTTCATTAATTTACAACTTGACAGTGCAATACAGAATTTTTATGGAGCTTTATTTACCCAACTAAAAATGATGCACTTAATTTAGAAATCAATATTAAATTTTTGTTCAAGTTAAAAATTGTAAAAAAATTGCTGTAGCAATGAGCACTGTTCTATGAGCACTGTTCTATTTTAAATGCATCAGATCTTTTCTCAAGTGAGTTTATACCTTTTTTAGTTGTAGGCTTCTTGGTAAGCAAATACCCTGCAGATCTAATACCAGTGATGGACCAATGGATTGATGATAGCGAAATGTGGCTGCGAAGATCTGCTATATTGCATCAGTTGAAATATTGTAAAGAAACGGATGAGGATAGATTATTCAGGTTGTAAAGTTTCACGCGCATTTTGAATAGACACCTATTGAAGTGATAATAATGTTAGTTACAGGCACAATGGGCCATGTGCATTGCCCCCTCCCCCAGAACTTTAGTGATGCTCTTTTTTCCTGAGAAAATAACTATAACAATTTGCTGAGTGAAGCAAGAAATTTTATCCTTGTGCACCCCTTTCCCTCAGCAGAGCCCAGTGCCAGTGCTTTAGAAACATTTTTAATTGTCTTAACATTACCTCCTTTGACAGATTCTCCCTTCATACTGAAAATATTTCTTAAATTGGTTGTTTTTGCAGTTATCTCCAAACAAATGTGAAAAACAAATATGTCTGTGGGCTGATTTGACTCAACATGATGGTTAATCTTTATTTCGGTAATTTGTGTTTATTTCTTCTTTATTTTATCGTTTCTTTATCTATTTTTACAGGTACTGCTTACAAAGGGCTCATGAAAAAGAATTCTTCATACAGAAGGCTATGGGCTGGGCATTGAGAACTTACTTCAGCACCAACTCCAGATCCGTCAGAGCTTTCGTCAAGAAGAATGAATGTGTTTTGCCAAAACTGACAGTAAAAGAAGCCTTAAAGCATGCCTAAATTGCATTTTTCATCATAACTGCCCTCACAGTTTTTAAACATTTAAAAATACTTATGTTACCTTTTAAGCAACTGAATTGTATATAATAACACCAAACTCTACAACTGCTTTCTGCTTGACATATTGAGATATTTTATTAGATTTTAATTTTAATGAAAAGGCTCCTATGTCAACGATGGTGTTATTGTAAAATTAATATATTTTAAAATAATTATATAATAAGCCAATATTGTGAAGACTTGCATTGTTGCCAAATTTAGCTTTGTTATTAGAATTGTAATGCAGCAGTTTTATCTGGTTTCTAGCACGTAAGAAAATATAATACGGACGTTACAGACGGCGACCCACGCTCGACTAAAACCTTGATTGGTTAGTCGACCTAAAGACCACAGAAAACGACTTAAGAATACCGTACTAGTCCACCGTTTTGAAAAAAAAAAACTTTTCAAAATCAAATTTTATAAAATTGCCATTTCTACCTCATAAAAAATTTTGTTCGCTTTTTTTTTCAAAGAAAACGGTGAAAATCCAGGTAGATAAAAAAAATGACAAACCACGTGCACTTTCTTCAACGTTTTAAATGCTTATATATCAAAGAAATCGATCTGCCATTAACATAACATAACATAACATAACATAACATAATTTTATTTCACGTCAGTTTTCCAACAAGCACAACACTAGCCATAGCAGGCTAATATCACCGACAGAATGAAATAAATTAATGTGAAGTACTATAATAGTTGGTCGAAAAATACTGTACAAAAGTTTTGTAATATTTCTAACAATATAAGGTAAGGTTTCGTTAGGCAACGGAAACGGAGAAAATCGATCTTCGGATCAACACAGGTCTTTATTAATACGGAAAACATGCTTTAGGTAAGGCCACACTTTTTAAATTTTATGGATGACATCCTGCGCGCGCACCGATTTTCGTCCGTTCTCCAAAAAAAAAAAAAAAATTCCCCCCCCCCCAAGGAAGTCGGTTGTCGCNAATAACCTTAAATAGATTTGGTAATATGCAGCATATATATATTCATGACTTTTTACCTTTCTACGAAGTACCCTGTAGGCCCTATTCACAATGCTTTAATATTTTGAGAGCATGGATAAAGACATGTTGTTAGTTTGATACGTGTTTCTGTGGTAAATTAGTGTTCCCAGCTGTGTACTGAAAACATAACTTTTCTTAAGCAGTTTTTTTTTTTTTTTTGGACTGTTTTTTTTTTTTTCGCCCGCTCGCACCGATTTTGGGGTCCCCAGAGGATGTCATCCATAAAAATAAAAAAGTGTGGCCTAACCGTAAAATAAATAAGCATGAATAACATGGTATAATCTGTCTGCATGCTTTCCTCATATCCTCCAACAGATTCGCAATATTTAAAGTGTGTAAAAGTTTGCCCCCACCATAAGTTGTAAAGTTTTGTGTGTTCATCCCCAACAGGCCAATATTCAGTTTTAGAAATGTACATCAAATGTGCTAGAGAAGCCACAGTTGTGACATTCTCACATCTAGACCACCAGCTAAATACGGCAAGTAAAGTTATTAAAAGATATAACATTACCACAAATATAAATGTCCATGAAGCTAAACGCGGTGTATACGTCAGAAGCTGCTATCTGCCTTTCTTTGGCGGAAACATAAAAGGAAAAAAGTCTTACACCCCACTTCCATAGATTAGATCGACCTACTTTAGATCGACCTAACTCCCTGGGGGTTCACGCTAAATAGCTGTCAGCTGGGCGGACACGAAAGTTAATTACACCCTTACAGCTTGTAGTAGGCGGGACGGACATTTAAGTCGGATTATCTGAAAGTAATCTAGTGAGACTCCCCGCGGGGATAGATCGATCTAAAATCTATGGGAATAGAGCCTTATATTACCATAAACCTTCGTTAGTTGTGTTGTTTATGAAAGGAGCACGTTCTTTCACCGAAATATTGCAACCCGGCTATTAATGTGTTACACAACGTGCCTCTATCCCGTCTAAATTACATTGGAAAATGATAATACAATAACTGGCGTATTCAATGTGTTCAGATCTGTTGACCGATGTACTGGCTTGTTAATCTTTCTCCTTTTTAAGAGAAATTGATAAAACAAACAAAAGTAACTGAAATAAATAACTACAAGCACATATAAAAAGCTCAGTGCCTATTACGTTGTGATTTGTAGTCCTCTTTCCAGACTTTCTTTTAATAATAAAGTGTGCAGGGTATTTTGTGTTACAATTAGCAGCACACATTTTACACTGCATAACTTTTTATAATAATAATAATAAGAACAATATTTATTTATAGTCTAAAATCCATATAAAATTTTCAGTAGACTTTACATGGGTAAAATGAACAGAATAAGATGAATAAAGTAAATGAAAAGGTAGTTAAAAGAATAAATTATTCATAAATTATTCCAGTTAAACTTTTGGTCTTCTCGTTATTTAGTGTGTATGCCTTCTCTGTCTCTCTTTATCGCCGCCACGCCCTATACACCCTCTTTTGTCTTTTTCCTTCCCGTTCCTTCCTCATTCAGGTGTAATATAGTTTATGTATACAACAACAATTTGGTTAATCTCTAAAGTGTTTGTTTGTTTTCATATATCATTACTTCACAAATTTCTCAATAAAAAATGACTAAACTGACGGATGAATAATGTCACGATTCAAGAAACAAAGCTCCAATATTTTTGAGTCACACCTCAAAAATCAACAGACTGACGTCATCGGTCAAGGTCAAAGGTCAAAGGAACTGTGATAGGAAGTAGAAGATTAGCCGCGACTGTTGTTAGCCGAAGTCGGCAGTTACACGACAGAGGCGTTTTTATACTTGGTATTGCTTTAAGACGCTGTAGATTGTAATTTAAACACATTTTAAGTATTAATCAACTGCCTATAAGCTGCTGGACGGTTTAAAAATGTCTCCTAGGACTAAAAACCCATGGGTTTCTGTGGGTGTAGCTCTGATGATAGCTATCAGTTTAAATTCGATGTCATATACATGGGCTCAGACAAGTACATCGAATACTACAGTATCCTCGGATTCTGATGAGGCTTCGTCACCAGATACTTTTCTACAAAGGCCAATAGATAAAGCAATGGATCCTCTGTATAAGATGACCAACTATTTTCTACAACTGGTTAAAGGAAACACCGGCATCACTGAGTACGTCGACGAGTTGGAAAGAAGTGGTAAGTCGATATAAAGTTTGTGTAAATCCTCACACCACCACTTGTTAGTTTGGTAGATCTCATTCCTAAAGTTTACAGTAGTGTTCACTTCACTCAGATGGAACTAGACTGGGATGAAGTGAATTGCGACGGTTTCGTGTAATTTCGATGATCATGAATTCACCTGTTGCATAAAATTAAAGAGTAGGCGTAAAGTGGTAAAAACTTGTTTCCATATTTCAAACATACCTTAGGTCTGGATTCAGTTTTAATATTATTTGGCCCATAAGACCAATAGTACATATCACCTCTAGACTCTGCATATATCTTCTTGCTAAACTTGTCACCATATGATTAGATTTATTGTTTTCAAACAAATTTGGCGAAACAGCTAGTTTATCTTTGGTATTAGCAGAAACTAATGAACATTGTCAAAATCTTCTTGTAACAAAAGGGGCTTCCCCAATGTGAGTTATGCACATATATTTAGATATATAAGTGTGTAATAGTGGATTAGTAAANTTGGTAAGTTACAATGTATATATACTATTATGTATTATTTTGTGTTTCAAGTAAAGAACTTCTTTTTCATTGAACTTTTATCAAAAAAAAAAATTAAAATGTGCTTTTACTTGAATTTATATGAGTATATGTTCTCTATTTAATTAATTTGCACCCTAATATACAGTATCAGATAGGTTTTTTTTCCATTTAGATGACATCAAAAGTTTGCCTCTTTACAAATTGGGATGATGGCAACATATTTATTACACATATTTGAATATTGATACGCATTTATTATAAATATTGTATTAATCTTTGTAATAATTATTGTGTTCTGCATTTGTTTCTCATTTGTAGTATTTACAGTATAATTGAGCAATTTGTTCTTACAGATGATAAAATCCTTAGGGCCCCTCGAGTGGATATTGAACACCCCAAGTCACCACAGAGTTCACCATGGCAGGAATCCATACTGTATAGACAAAAACTACGCTGGGACTCTAATAATTTGGGACCGTCTGTTCGGAACCTTCCAGGCTGAGAATGAGGAGGTGGTGTACGGACTCACACACCCAATCAACACATTTAACCCTATAGAAGCACAGGTTTGTTTAGAAGATATATATATATATTTGTTTGGCATAAGTTTGCTGTAAATCAGCCAGTGAACTGCTCAAGCTGTAAATTTTTTCTCCTATGTGATAAAGCTGTATATGGAAAATGAGCATATTATTATTATTTATCACTGTTCGTTTCCACCAGCTCAGTCTGATGTAAAAGTGTATGTCAAGCTTTCTGTTGATATTGTTTCCATCTTTTAATTTTTAGTTTGGTTATGTGAAATATTTGTGGAGCAGATTATGGCAATTTGACAATCTAAGTGACAAGGTCTCATCCCTAGTTAAAGGACCAGGTTGGGCACCTGGTAAACCTAGGCTTGGGAACATAGAAGACATTCCAAAAGTAAGTAAACTGGTACTTCATCTGGACAAATACAGTGTAGGTAAATGCATTTTTGTCAGGTAAATCTCAGAGATGTGGTATTTTATGAGAATTGCTATTGCTTATATAGCCAGTGAGTTGGGACTTGAAGATACTGTGTAGTTATCTTTCATATTAGCACCCTTAGAATGCATTCAGAACAGCGAACTTACAGATCCGGGGATCAAATATGGCCGTCCCACTCCCACTGCTTGTTGCATAATCTCCATGGGGAATATACTCAGTATATATATACAATATACTCATATACTCTAATTGGGAATTAGGCGGCAACCCATGTGTGATCCACAGATCTGTTAGTCAGCTGCTCTGAATGTGCTCTGTGTGAGCAAATTGTGTTCTGAGCAAATCATTGTACTGGGCATCGTTACTACCTTGTCAATCATGTACTATGTCAACAGTTGATTTGTCACAGAAGACAATAATATTTATCAGTTTTGGCAAAATTATTTAATGTCTATTTTAGGTAAAGGCACCTGTAACGAAGTATGACAGTGGGCTGCCTTTGTCATTGAGTTTATTTGTGCTGAGTCATTATTTGCTGGTTTTGATTGGTTACCAGGAACTGGTAGCTAGGAAAAGTGTAAGTGATCTGAATTTTGAACAACAAAGAAATCTTTTGAAAATTTTTTATTTGAAAAAAAAATCAGAATGAGCATGATGGTGCTTTTACACTGGACACAATAAACATTTTGAATAATCAGTATTTTAACCAGGTGAACATACATGATGCTAAAGAACATGTCAGCACATAAATCCATGATAGCGAAATAAGGTTTCAGCAGTATGATGAAGAAGAAAAAGTACACCTCTTAACCTGTAACTCATTGAAATTTGTGCCTTCTTTTTTTTAGGGATTAAGTCAACTAAATGTTGCATGTTTCATTGCTTACATTGTGCTGTCTCTGACATGTTTTGGAGCACTTTTTGATAACAGGTAACTTAGACATTTCTTTAAAAAATTTCCTTGCCACACTGGAAAAGACTGAACAGTTTTAACTCTTCTACAAATATAATGATTCCTGTAGTACATCATACCAATAGTGTACCTTTTTAATTAAGCAATCTCTTTCCTTTATTTTTTATCTATTTTTTATTTTCCATAATTTTTTGTTGTAGATTTTATGCGCCATTCCTGGAATGTTTTCGCTGTGTGCTGTTTGTTGCTTTTGATCTTTACCTCACAAGGGGCAGGTTAGAGGAGCGTCCAGTCTGGCAGCACTTGATCCAGTGGTATTTTCTGTTTTCTGCATGTCTCTGGGGTCTGCAGGCTGTAAGGATGCTCATGAGTCCAAAGAATGAAAAAGAACAGCAAAAACAGAGTTGAAATAGTAGTGTTTCATGGTCTTGTACCCAGTATGCTTTATTTTAAAACATGTCAATCTGACTCATTTTTCAAACCTGTTGTACTGGTAAATAGGTATAATTAAAGTCAGGATAAGAAAAAATAAGTGTAAATTGAATTAAATTAGCATCCAGACAAAGTTTGATTTACACTGAATAAAAAGATGCACTGGCTATGATATATGACACATGATATAATTTATTGACTGCAGCCAGAGTTATGTCACAAAGATGTTGTATATTAATATGAATTACATATACTCTGCTGAAATTTACTAAGTATTACTGTCATGTATAATGTACCTAGCATAACAGCGCTCATGATTTCTCAAGTGACTGGTGATAATTGTCATATTCTAAGAATCATCAAGTAGAGTGCCAAATTTACAGAATATTGTCATTTCCTTTGATAGTTTTTACTTTGGTGTTTAATCACATTCATATGGGATTATTAGATAACAGATGATAGATGCAGTGTTTCCAATCACATATAATTGATATCATTACTGTTGGTTATTCTCTTTGAGGTTTTCATATAGAAGAAATGTCTTACTCAGTTATCAATATAAATTTTTAGTGGTTTAGTTGGTCTTTCTTAATTTAATTAATTTTTTTACCACTGATAAAGAAGTTAATGGTTGTGTCCTTGTGTGCTATATGGTACACAGGCCTGTAGCCAGTAATTTTATTATTTTGAAAAAGTGGAGCTTTTACTTATTGCTATCAACTTTTACTTATTTCCCCCCCCCCCTCTCCCCCTTGGCTACGGGCCTGGAATTACATGCTTGATCAAGAATTCTAAATTGTTGGGGTTGTTATATTTACATCAGGTGCCATTATGAGCATAAACATCATAAAAATTATATATCCACCAGTTTTTAGTACGACAAATTTCATGTTTAAACATTGGAGCACAATTGCTTGTCATTGCTCACAATTGTATTAAAATATGTTTATTTTTGTAAAATCAGTGATAAAATGTGTAAATTTATATTTCTAATAAAAGATACAATGTTTTCAAGGTGTTAATTTTCATAATCTGAATTTCCTTTAGGAACTCATTTGGTTAACAGTCCCATTATTAATGCACCAAGAGCTTCTGAGGTCATTGGAAACTTGCCATTATTGTGAAGTATGTGGGAAAAGTAGAGACATGCTGATAGAGGAGACGTGGGTTTCCATTGTCCTCAAGCTGTAAAACTCATATCAGTGGTGTATTAAGGGGGTGTCAGGGGGGTTCTGACCCCCCCCCCTTGATTTCTGAAAAAAATAACACCAAATTAGAATTTTGACTAGCTGAATCATAGTCCGTAACTGTACCAAATGGCATTGTTTGCCCTCTACAAAACAAAATTTTCAGGCTCCTTTACTGGGCCCTGAACCCAACAAGGGGGGGGGTCGGCTTGCTTCCAAGGACCCACTGATGGAAAACAAACTTGCCATGAAAAGCACATCCAATTATCACAACAAACACATTGTGAGTTATTAGTTGCAGAACATTGCAAATTGTCTACTGCACATTTTCAACTACATTGAAGATCTTAACACTCCTGGTATGCATACCTTTGTAGCAAGTGACCATGTAGATTTTTGGTACTCCTCCTTATCGGTTTTCAAATGACATTAAAAAAAAAAAAAAACTTTTGCTACCCAAAAAGTCTTAAAAATTATAACAGTTGTATTTTCAGTAAGATTTTAAAAAGTAAGAATGATGCTTTGTTTTTCACATTTTTCAGAAGGGGAAACTATGGGGGGGGGGGCAGGGGAAGTAATAGATGTAATTGACCTGCATTCTACGATACAGGGCAGTGATTATTACAATACAAATCATTTGTGCTAACATCAGCCCTAACACTTAGGCATGGCCTTGGTCTACACATCAATGTACAGGCCCATAGCAAGCAATTTTAAAAGGAGTGTTTTTTTCTGAAAAAGTGGACCTTTTACCACGAAACCTTTGTGTACCTAGATAAAATTTTACCCAGCGGGTACCTTTTCCCGGCAAAATGGGGGGTTCTTTCAAGCCCCTTGAACCCCCCCCCCCCCACCCCCTGGCTACAGGCCTGATGGCCAGGCCAGACAGACAGGAAGATGATGCCAAGATTATGTTGTCTGAGCCCAGTCTTTAATTAAGGCAGCTGAGGGATTATCTTC